TTCATTCATTCATTCATTCAGCTTAGGGTCACCATTCACTCATTCATTCATTCATTCAGCTTAGGGTCACCATTCACTCATTCATTCATTCATTCAGCTTAGGGTCACCATTCACTCATTCATTCATTCATTCATTCATTCAGCTTAGGGTCACACAGCTCCTAAGTGTCAGAGGCAGGTCTGTACTCCAAGTTCCATGTTCTACCCCTTCCCCCACCACCTCTATAGAGGGGCTTTAAAAGTCCCCCAAATGCTTCAGTATGTACCAAGTCCATCTTGGCCAGAAGATAGTACCTCCAGGACATTCTAGCACGCCAGGATACTCAGGAAGCAAAACTTGTCTGTGATGGTTTGGGGATGGAATTCTGCGGATTTGATGCCTCTGTCCTCAGCAGCACAGGCACACCTGGTACAGGTACAGCTATGGGACAGAAAGTAAACATCGAATTACTCTGCAGGGGAAACTACACCTGGTCAGGCTGTACCTTCACAGCCCCCTCTCCTCTTTATTGTTCCAGGTTCTGAGGTGTGTGCTGCCTCACTCCCTGGGCCAGGATCTCCACTACAGGTAAGAATACACTTCTTTTTAAATAGTTTTATTTTTTATTCCCAATTACATGTAAAAACAATTTTTGTTGTTGTTTTGTTTTGTTTTTGTTTGTTTTAGTGAGGCAATTGGGGTTAAGTGACTTGCCCAGAGTCACACAGCTTGTGAGTGTTATGTGTCTGAGGCCGAATTTGAACTCAGGTCCTCCTGACTCCAGGGCCAGTGTTCTAACCACTGCACCACCTAGCTGCCCCCAGAACTCAAAATTTTAAAAAACAAATGTTAAAAATTGTTTTGGGGGCAGCTAGGTGGCGCAGTGGTTAGAACACTGGCCCTGGAGTCAGGAGGATCTGAGTTCAAATCCGGTCTCAGACAAGACACTTGACACTCACTAGCTGTGTGACCCTGGGCAAGTCACTTAACCCCATTGCCTAGCCAAAAAAAAAAAAATTTTTTTGAGTTCCAAATTCTCTTCTTCCCTCCCTCCCCTCTTCCCTCATAGAAAAGGCAAGCAGTTTGATATAGGTTGTACATGTGCAGTCATGCAAAACATATTTCCATATTAGTCATGTTATGAAAGAAAAGACAGACCAACCCTCCCCCACCACACACACACACAAAATAAAGTGGAAAATAGCATGTTGTGATCTGTATTCAGACTCCACCAGTTATTTCTCTGGAGATGGATAGCATTTTTTATCCTGAGTCCTTTGGAATTGTCTTGAATCATTGTCTTGCTGAGAATAGTCAAGTTATTCACAGCTGATCATTGTACAATATTACTGTTACTACTTACAGTGTTATCCTGATTCTGCTCACTTCACTTTGCATCAGTTCATGCAAGTCTTCCCAGGTTTTTCTGAAATCATCCTGCTCATCATTTCTTATAGCATCATAGTAAGAATACACTTTGTTTTTGCTTTTTTTTGGCAAGACATAGGGGTTAAGTGACTTGCCCAGGGTCACACAGCTAGTGAGTGTCAAGTGCCTAAGGCTGTATTTGAACTCAAGTCCTCCTGACTCCAGGGCTGGTGTTCTATCCACTGCACCACCTAGCTGCCCCCAGAATACACTTCTTTCGCTAGACATAGAGTGTTACAAAGTTCTTAATCCAGAATAGGATCCACATCGATAAATTATTCGTCCCCTGAACCAGCAGTGTGCTGGCAAAGGTTTAACAACAGGCTCTCTAGAAAAATATATGCTCAAAAAAAAAGTTTGCTAAACGTACTTTTAAGTTTAATTTGCATTATTAACTTAATTTCTTAAGTTTAGACAATCAACAAAACAATAAATCAAAACCCGATTTATAGCATTTGCTAATTACCGAGATATAAATTCTTACACTGAAAATTTAATAGTCCTAGCCGGTTCCAACATACCCCTTCCCTGAACACATTGGAGGTTGGGGAAGAGTCGTGAGATCAACCAGCAGTGGGAAAACTCAGGATTGTGGGAATAATAACTTGCATTAATGTAGACCTCTATGTTTAAATGTTTTTACATATACATATATATATATATACATATATATATATAATAAGAACATTTTGTGGTACAATGGAAAGAGCACTTAATTTGGAGATACAGGACCTGGTTTCAAATTCTGCCTCTGTCACTTACTTTGTGTGACCTTGGACAAATCACTTAACTTCCCTGGGCCTCAGTTTCCTTATCTGTAAAATGATGAGATTGGACTAGAAGAGAAGGCTTCTGATCTCTAGATCTCTAGCCCCTTGATCCTAAATCACTCCAATTTTCTGGGCCTCAGTTTCCTCATATGTGAAATGTGTGTAGTGCGTGACACTACCTGATGTCACACACCCCTTCCAGCTCTAAATCTGTGACTCAATGATACTGTCTCGCACTTTCCTCAAGGTAACTTTGTGAGATAGGGGTGGGCTGTGCAAGTATTATTTTCCCTACTTGGTAAATTAAGAACCTCAGCCTCAGAGAGATGAAGCTGCTTAACACCAGTCTCACAGCTCAGAAGGGTTGGAGCCAGGATTAGAACCCAGATCTTCCGCCTCTGGGTCCAGCGATCTTTCCATGACACCCACACCACTAGGAATCCCAATGTGCCTGCTGTTCTTTGGATTCTGCTGGCCTTTGTCCAGTATTGTCTCATGGATTTATTCCTATTTCTTCTTATTCTTCCCACGTCTTGTGACACCTTCACATTCTGTTCTGTTAATATACCGTTCCTGTGGCCCTAGGCAGACATCTTTCCAGGATTTCTTTGTTTGCTTTTTCCTTATGTTAAAACAGCTTTGACTGTTCTCCTACTAATTAGTCAGATAGGTGTCCCCGCCCACCGCAGAAGAGGACATAGATAATGGAACAGGGTAAGGCCTTAAAAGTTATCTAGTGCTGTCCTTCCTTATTTTAGTCAGACAGTAGTCAGTCAATAAATACAGTGCCAGGCATTGTGCCAAGTACTGGGTATACAAAAGGTGGCAAAGGACAATCCTGCCTTCAAGGAGCCCACAGTCTGGGGGAGACAATAAGCAAAGAAATATGTACAAATAAGCTTTGTACAGGGTAATGAGGAAATAAGAGAGCAAAGGCACTAGAATTAAAAGGAGTTGAGATTTGACATTTTGCAGATGGGGAAACTGAGGCCTGGTGAGGAAGTGATGTGCCTAAAGTCACCCAGCTAATAAGTAGCAGAACTGAGATTTAAATCCAGGTTCCCAGACTCTAGTACACCAAAGATTTCTTCCTACTAGAGTCATATTTGGAGGATCCCTAGGTCAAAGGGTACCATCAGTTTTTTATCTGTTATTGCAATTAAAAATAATTATGCCAATTATTAGAATCCCAGAGTTGGTAGGCAGGTCAGAAGCCATACCTGAGCAAGAATTCATTCTACAACATGCCTGACAAGTGTTCATAGGTCCTCTGCTTGAAGATCCCAAATGAGGAGGAGCTCCTTACCTCCCTAGTGTCCCATTCCATTTTGGGTGTATATCTAATTGTTAGGAAGATATTTCTGACATTGAACCTACATCTTCTTTCCTGCAACTTCCATGCATTGCTTTCCTAGCTCTGCCTTCAGGGTCCTAGTAGAATAAGTATAATCCTTCTATATTCCTGTCCTTCAAACATTGAAATTACCCTGTCCCTCCTAAGTTTTCATTGGTTTCTGCAACTTATCCTACTATATTAGGACCTTAAAGCCTCTCACCAGGAAGGTTATCCTTCTCTGGATATATTCTGGAGTCTATGTCTTTTCAGAAATGATGATCACAGCGCAACATGACAGAAATATCACCTCCCTCATTCTGTATGTGACATCTCTTTTGATGTAGCCTGGGGTAGCATTAAGTTTTTTGGGCTGCTGTGTCACATTATTGCCCCATATTGAATTTATGGTCTACTAAAGCCTCCCAAGTTATTTTCACAAGAACTATAGTCTAGCCATATTTATCCCAACATGTTCCTATGCAATTAATTTTTTAACCCAAGTAAGTGACTTTGCATTTATGTCTATTAAATTTCATCTTACTTGATTCAGTCCAATGTTCTAGCCCACAAAATATCTTTTTGCATCCAAGCTTTGTCATCTAGCTATTCCTCCCAGCTTAATTTCATCTTCAGTTTTGACGGGCATCTGTCTTTGTTCAAGTCATTGACTTAAAATTGTTGAACAGCTCAGGGCCAAGTACAGATCCCTAGGGCACTTCGCTAGGGACCTCCATCCAAGCTGACAAAGTCACTGATGACTACCCTTTGGGTCTCAGTCATTCAACCAGTTCTGTTGTACTGGTGTCTAACCCATTTGTCTTCATCTTGTTCCCAAGGATACCATGATAACTATCAAATGCTTGGCTGAAATCTAAGTGCCCGATGACCTTGTGTTTATACCTTTGTCCTCATTTAACTGTCTAGTTACCCAGCCACAAGAAGAAATGAGCTTATTCTGGCATAGCTTGTTTTTGATGAAATAACGCTAGCTTTCGGTGGATACTACTTCCTTTTCTAAGTGGTTACAAACCACCCCCTTTGGGAATATATTCTAGATTTTGCCAAAAATTGAAATCAAGCTCACTAGTCTAGAGTTGGTACATTCCAAATTCTTCCATGCTTTGAAAGCTGGGACACTCTTTGCCTGTCTCCTTCATTCCCATGGCACCTCTCCTATTCTCCAAAATTTTTCCAAGATGGCAGAGTCCCAGCCATCCTAATCTTTCAGTTCTTTCAGTATGTGGAGATGTTGCTCCTTTGAACCTGGTGACTTGAATTCACTGAAGATGCATGATACCATCTTGCCCTCTCCTCATTTACCATGGGATTCCACTTAGCACTAACTTTTATAACTATTGAATTTTTATCATTTTTAATGATTTTTACCAATTTGATGGGTATAAATTACCTCACTGTTGTTTTCATTTGCATTTCTCTGATTAGTAGAGTTTTAATACTTTTCAAGTGAAGAGGAACAGTTTTGGGCCCCTAGATGCTGCTTAGTTTATTTCTATCTACTCTATCTGAACATTCTCTCATTTGTGGCTAGTTATTTTACATATTATCTCCAGCACTGGAACGTGAGATCCTGGAGCAAGGACTTGCTTTGCATTTTCAGAGCTTAATAGGTGCCTGACACATAGTAGATACTTAATGAATATTTGTTGACTGACTGAATTTGAGAACTAGGTATTCATATCCTTTGTCAATTTTTCCATTATAGAATGGGCCTTATGCTTAGAAATTTGTGTCCAGTACTTATAGATTCTAGATAGCAAATTTTTATCATATAATTTTATCATGAAGAATTTTTCTCAATCTGTTTTTTATTCTCCAGATTTAGGATACATCATCTTTAATTTTTTAAACTTTTTATCATATTCTTCATTAGCATCCACAAAGCACAGAAGTAAATATTTTTTAAAATGAGGGGCAAAATCTTACATTTTAATGTGCATTGATTGATTATGTAATGCTTCTAATTTTTAACAAAATAGAACCAAATGAATTAACAAACAAGCAAAGACAATTATTTTGTCCTATATGCTACTCCGGGTCTAGCTGAAATTCGATTGGCTAGCTTTATTTCTTTTCTGCTTTCTTGTCTCTGTCTCTGTCTCCCTCCCTCTTTTTTTCTGTATAATTATAATCAGTGTTTATGTAGTTGTGGTTCTAACAATTTTACTTGGCATCATTACCTGAGGGTCTTTTCCTATTCCTTTGTGTGCTTCATATAGTTTTATGGTACCATGATATTTCATTATGTAAATATGCCAGAATTAACTTAGCTATTTGCTAACCTTTGGACATAGAAGGTACTTCCCCATTTTTGCTACTACAAAGAGAGCAGTTTGGGCTCTGTATACGTAGGCTCTCTCTTCCTTTTTATGATATTTTCAGGTTAAAGTCCTAGCAATGGACTTGTTGGGTCCAAGAGTATAGTCATTTTTGCTACATTGGTTTCTAGTTTGCAAAATCTCTTTATATTTACATAGTAAAATCCATCTGTTTTGTCTCAGCTAAGAGACCAACATTTCGAAAAGCGATGGTTCATTTAAAACATTTAATTTTGGTTTATTTCTTGCTTGCAGAAGGGAGATGATCCATCATTCCACCTTGACCTACCTGTGGGTCTCCTTTCCCTACTCAGTTTTAACAATCTGTGTGCAGGGCCCAGCAGTTTCCACTCACAAGAGGAAAGTGCTGGCGATGTCAGACCGCTGGACAGCATTTGGCGGGAGGGAAAGGGAAAGTATGTGTGATGGGATGTTAGAAATTGGCCGGCCATACCTGTTATCTTTAACAATGATACCAAAAGTCAGGAGCCAAGCTTGGCAGGAAGTTAGGTCTTGGGTGAAACCTTATTTATAGGAGCCCTGATTCCAAGTTTCTGGTAGGGAAGAGGTGAGGATGAAGGCTCGAAGGCTTAGTCCTCCCCTTCATTGGTATCAGAATTTCCTTGTTGGTTTTGAGATCCAAAGTGAAATTCCCTTCTCTGTTTGTGGTCTGGATTGGGCATCAGAAAACCTGCATTCAAATTCTACCTCAGCTTCTTAATACCTGTGTAACCATGGGCAAACCTATCTGGTCCTCAGTTTCTGCAATTGCAAAAATAAAGAGAATAGACTATATGACCTCTAAGTTCCTGTCTAGCTCTAAACCTCCAGTTTATTTATTTATTATGCCCATTCTACAAATGAGGACATTGAGGCTAAGAGAGGTTATATAATTCTCTTATCATCCCACAGCTGGGAAGGCTCCCTCTTGTCCTGGTGTCAGTTGTACCTATTTGTGTCTAATCACAGCCTCCTTCTTTTAGAATGCCGCCAAGGGGCTAACAGACCGAAAGCAGAATGACCAAAGGAAGGTGTCTCAGGGACGACTGGCTCCTCGCTCCCCTGGTGCTGAGAAATCCAAAGAGACGTTATCTGAACAAAAAGAAAATTTTGATCCCCTTAAACACGTAGAGAACAGTACACCCAAGGTTCTTGCTTCTGGCAGTGGTGGAGGGAAAATGTCCCTCAACAGTCCTACAGGTGCTGGTGAAAAAGATCCAGGGAAGCAGTTTCTTAAGAAACCCAAGGAAAGTGACCCCCTCCTGAAAAGCCACAGCCAAGGCCCAGGGTCAACTCCCCAAGGACCCCAGGGAAAAGGCCCAGCCTGGGAGCCACTCAACTCCAAGACCCCCTCCAAAGCTGACCTCAAGCCTTCTGGATTCCGACCCCCTCTTCAGCGGGGGCTGTCCTGGGACAGTAGCCCCATGGAGCCGGGGTCAAAAGACAAGGTCATCGCCAAGCTGGCATCTGCAGAAGAAGAGAAACACTTTCCCAGCAAAGCTGGCAACAAACTCCCCAAATCATCAGGATTCAAGGACTTTCAGATCCAGGTTCAACCTGTGCGAATGCAGAAACTGACCAAGCTCAGAGAGGTGTGTTCTTTGTGGGAGATGAGTGGGCTGGCCCTGGGAACAAAGTGGGCTAGCCTTAGGAGCAAAGTGGGCTGGCTCTGGGAACAAAGTGGGCTAGCCTTAGGAGCAAAGTGGGCTGGCACTGGGAACAAAGTGGGCTAGCCTTAGGAGCAAAGTGAGCTAACCCTAGTAACAAAATGGGCTAACCCTGATATACTGGAAAGAACACTGGATTTGGAGTCAGAAGACCTGAGGTCAGACCCTAGCTTTGCTGCTTACTATCTGTGTAACCTTGGGTAAGGCACAGAACCTCACTGGGCCTCGATTTTATCATATGTAAAATGAAGACATTGGCCTAGATGACTTCCTAGGTGCCCTCCAGCTCTAAACTTATAATGCTACGATCTCACTTCACTTCTCCTGTAGTCCATACAACTCTGAACTCAAGTGACAGCACTGTGGGTCTAGACTTGGACACTGAGGAGGCCTCTTTTTTCCATGTGGGGCAAGCCTTCAAAATAATAATTTTTTTTTTTGGATTGGGCTCTGGTTAGGAAACTCCCTCTACCGATGCAGACTAACTTACGATCTCTGCAGCTTCTAGTCTTATAGACTTGTTTAGTGAACTGAGAGGTTAAACAATTTGCCTAAGGTCACATAGCATATGTGTCAGAAGTGGGGCTTAGACCCAGGTCTTCCTGACTGTGAGGCCAGCTTTCTATCCTTTACTCCATGTTAACTCTCATTAATATAATTACTAATATATATATATATATATATATATATAATTACTAATATAAATACTATTATAATAATGAGAGGCATCATGAAATTATAATTGATATTAATAACATTATTATTCTATTTGATCCAATAAATATTGGTAAGGGCTTACTACATGCAGAGGGCTGTTCTAGGTTCTGAGTGACATTTTGGATGACATCTGTGATTTCATCTAAATTGGGAATCCTGAGTGCAGACACTCCTCTGCTGAAGGAGATCCGTCCTTGCTCTTCTGACTCTGAGAGCCTTGCCTGGGGCACTGAGAAGTGTTGTATGTGTCAGTCAGGGACTTGATCTGAAATCTTTCAGACTCAGGAGGCCAGCTGTCTAGTCACTGCACCAAGGCTGCCTGGGTGATATAAAGGTGAATAATTACAATCTGCCCTCAAGGCACGGTGACTAGAACATAACACTTGGAATCAGGAAGACCTGAGGTCAGATCCTGCCTCAGACACTTACTGGTATCTGTGTTTCCCTAGGCAAATCACTTAACTTCTCTGAACCTCAACTTTCTCATCTGTAAAATGGGGATAATAATGATAGCCTCTACTTCACAGGGTTGTAATGAGGATCAAATGAGATAACACAATAATAGCTATTATTGCTATTATTATTATTTATTGGGGAGAGGGGCAGGGGAAGGAAAAGACAAAAACTCAGATACCTCTGTTTTCAAATAAAACTGGCTAAGTACACAGGAGAGGTACAACCAAGGACGTGCATATGGTCCAAGGAAGGAAGGGTCAGTTCTGGCAGGAGGTGGCTTCTGACCCGGAAGGGCAGCAGAGGGGAAAGGGGCAGGTCAAGGAGGGCATTAGCTGGGTCATTCTTGTGGTCTTCAGGAACTCTGTGCATCTTACTATCTTTCTTAGTATCCCCTGCATTTAGAACAGTCTGCAATAGAGTAGTGCTTGATAAATGCTTGCTGATGGGCTGACAGCATTGTTACAAGCCAGCATTCCAGGTGTTCCATGGGGAAGGTGTGTTATTCACATATGAGTGGATCCTCAGGGAGAGGCCAGCCCTGCATACTTCAGGCTGCCTGGCTTCCTGGCTTCAACGTACAGTATGTGACATGTAAACAGGAACCAGATGACTAAATACCTTGTCAGTCCTAAGTGCTGTCATGGTCAGGGATGAAATAACCCTGCCTCCCTCTGAGTTCCAAGAATCCTTCCTTCCTGGTAATCTATCAACAAACTGTCTAAAACTCTCCCCAGAATGGTCACTGGAGTTCATATAACATTCCCTCCCTGACACTTGAGTTCCCTGGTTTCTGGGGTCAGAATCATAGGACTCGAGCCAGAAAGGCTTTTGGAGGTACTTAAGTCACTTCCAGCCCATGCCTCTTACCTCTTAGATGTGCAAAATCCCTTCCAAAGAAAAACCTTTCACCAGTCAAATCTGAGGACAAGGCCCCTTAGGAGGGTACCGGCTGCTTCTCTTTATTCTTAGGGTAGAGGAATTGGAGGTATCCAGGGTCCGTGGGAGGGAGGGTGGGTACTAACCTCCCATAGCTCCTTTCTTCTTCTGCCATAATAACTCCCACCCTCACCCTCAGGCTTCAATATGACTGATGTTCAAAGAGAGAGGGAGACCAGGTTTGGATGGGAACTGGCTACCCTGGAGTTTTCCCTTCATCCCTAAAGATGTGAGAGGAAAACAGAGGAATCCTGGCCTTCAAATGGCTCCCTGCTGATTTGTCTGCAGGTTAAGTTACCATACCGTCCCACATCACTTGGCTCCTGGGCACTCAATCCTGTTCGTTGACCTTCTTTCCTTACACAGATGACTAGTCCAGGCCCAGGGTTGGGCAGCATAGAGTTCCTTGACCCTGGACTTCAGAAATTGCCACAAAAGAGAGTGAGGCTGACTTTGCACAGCTCTGCCTCACTTAAATCCAATTCACGTGAAATTCAAGACTTCACCTTCATGATGTCATTGGCTCCTTCAACAACAAAGGACAGACAAAAACAAAAGTCTATTCAAACAATAGACTTAGGATGGCAGAGAGACAATACAGCATGGTGGGTAGACAATACCCAACTAAGCCAAACTCTCTAAAAATATTACCTTTTCCTTCTCCTGCCCAGGAACACATCCTGATGAGGAGTCAGAACTTGGTTGGCCTGAAACTTCCAGATCTCAGTGAAGCTGTGGAACAAGAGAGAGGTAGGTGGGATCCAAAGAGGTAGGAAGGTTGGAGGCAATAGTTCCCCAGGTGGCAGCTCCTTCCTGCCAACAGGCCCTGGACCCCCTCCTCATCATGCCATTATCATAATGTCCCACCATCTCAACATGGCGCCCACCCACAAGTGGTTACCAAGTTTCATTCTCTTTGTCTCGTTGGCACCTGGTGGGTGCTTGCTCACTCAGGCTCATTTCCTTTCCTCACATCCATTAGATTGTAAGCACCTTGAGGGCAGGGACTATCTTTTTGCCTCTTTTTGTATCTCTAGCACTTATAGCACCTGGCATATAGTAGGTGCTTAATAAATGTGTATCGACTGACTGACGTCCAAATCAGTTATCAATTTCTATCAATTCTTTTTTTGTTGTTTGTTTGTTTATGTACCAAAATGGCTCTGTTCTCTGTTTTCTCATTATCAAAACCTTTAGGTCCTCCTTGCCTCATACCTCGATTATGGTAGTAGCCTCCTAACTGGTCATATAATCTGTCTAGCCCCCAAAGTGAGCTTCCTAAAATCTCGTTTTGGTCACGTCTCTTCTCTACTCAGACTTTGTCAATGGTTTCCTGTTATCTCACTAATCAAATCTAGATTCCTTTGTATAAATTTTAAGCCTCCCCCAATCTGGCTCTACTTTACCTAGCATCCCCCTCTGCACACTATCCTCCCTCCTGATTCAGTTTCTTTGCTCATGCTATCATGCTCCCTAGAACGGCTTCACCCCTTCTTTACATATATCCATAGCCTACCCATCCTTCAAAGCCTGACTCAATTCCCATCTCCTCTGGGAAGCCTTCTTGGACAACTCCAAGTAACTCCAAGCTGGTAATTGTTATCAGTACCACATGACCTGGTCCTTTATTTTCTCAGCATATCTTACTACAAGATAAAATAATGACAACAACAACTAGCATCTATATTGTGCTTTTAGTTTTTGCATTAGAAATGTTAACCCATTTTATCCTCACAACAATCCTGAGAGAGAGGTTCTATCATTATCCCCATTTTGCAGACAAGGAAACTGAAACAGACAAAGGTTAGTTGACTTGTCCAGGGTCACACAACTAGGAAGTATCTGAGGTGAGATTTGAACTCAGGTCTTCTGGCTTCTCAGTCCTGCCATCTAGCTAACCAAGCAAAGTAAATCTAATCCCTCTTCCACATGACAGCTTTTCAAATGCTAGAAAACAGCTGTCATAGTCTTACCCTAAGTATTCTCTCCCCCAGACTAAGCACCCCCAATTTCTTCAGATGATCCTCATATGGCAGGATGTAGAGACCCCTGACCATCCTGGTTGCCTCCTCTCCAACATATTGATGCCGTTGGCCAAACAAAATGCCCAGCTGTGAACAGAATGCTCCAAGCATGGCCTGAACAGGGCAGAGGACAGCGGGACTATTGCCTCCCTTCCTCTGGTCTCGAGGCCTCCCTGAGGCAACCTAAGATTATGTTTAGTCACCATGTTCCAACTCTGCTGGGTTTCAGTTATTAACCGAATGGGCTTGGGTAAGTCATGTAACCTCTCTTGGCCTCAGTTTCTCAATTCGTAAAATGAAGATCATAAATTTAGAGAAGGGACCTAAGAAGCCATCAGGTCCAACCCCCCTCATTTTACAGATGAAGAAACTAAGACCCAGAGAGGTTAAATTACTGCCCAACGTCACACAGGTAATGGATTAGAATAGGATTCTATTCTAATAGATAGGATTAGAATCCAGGTCCCCTGGGAAAATCCCCTGCCTTCCTCACCAACTTCACAGGGTTGTAGTTAAGATCAAATGAATTAATAGATATGAATGAAGAAGGATGTGGTCTTCCCTACAATCCAATTCCTTCTCTCAGGACTGTCTGGGTTACTGCTTGCCTTCAGGCCCACTCAGATATCAGATGGCAATGAAGGTCTGACCTTGGAAAACTCTCAGCAGGGCAGCCCAGAAAGCTGCCTCCCTGGATAGTAATGGTGGCCCTTCACCCCACATTTCAGCAGAGTCTTGACAGAGCTCTGAGAAGCACCAGAAACAAAGGCTAAGAATGAACCACTGTGGGCAGCCCTGTCCTAATGCAAATCCAAATTTTCTTCTGAATGTTTATTTTGGTCCAGCTGTGAGAATTTCTCCAGACAAAGAGCCTTGGATGGGCTGCAGAGGGGGACAGATGGTATATAGTTCAGTCAGTCATCATGCACATATGCACTGTGAACACCAGAAGAATGACAAGACCCAAGAACCCTTCGGCAACATTTATAATTGAGTCTTGAGAAGACAAGATTAGTAGTCATGAAACAATCAGAGAAAAATTCGAGACAGCTTAGAGTTTGAGCATCTCAACCTTGGAAGGTTTCCTCAGGGTCATCCGGCCTAGGAGTCATCCAGGATAGTTCCAGGCCTTGTCAGTCAGTCATTGAGTCAATATGTTGAACATGTCCCAGCCACTGTGCTAAGCGCTGGGGATACAAAGAAAGGCCTCGAGGAGCTTATATTCTAATGGGGGAGACAACATAAAAAAAGTATGCACGTACACGATGTCATGCATATGGCTGGCAATCTCTGAGGGAAGTCCCTAGCAGTGGGAGAAGAGAATCAGGAAAGGCCTCTTGCAGAAGGTGGGATTTTCGCTGAGTCTTGAAGGGAAAGAAGCCAGGAAAGCCAGCAGGCCAAGGCAAGCAGGCGGGGAGCATTGTCAGAAATGAATTCGTTTCTGTTCCTGGTGTTTTCCTCCGCAAAGAAAGGGAAGTCTGACAAAGGAGCTCATTTTGCCCAGAGAAATAGTTTGCTTAGGACCATATTGGGTTTGAAGTATCAGCAGCACGTCCAGGTGGGGATTGAAAGAGGCCTTGGGGGTGGGCTAGGAGAATCCCCTCATTTTACAGATAGGATGTTGAGGCATAGAAAGTTTAAGTGACTTACTCAAGGTAACTCAGGTAGTTAGTGGCAGACCTGGGAACCAAATTCAGGTCCTCTGACTCCAGATCCAGGGCCATGTTGCTTTTCCCACCAGGGAGTTAGAAATGAGGTGCTGGACCTCAGGAGACAAGTTTAAACATAAGATCTCATTTGTGCACTCTTTCACATACAGGTTGATAAAGTTGAGAGGTTGGTGACAATATAGAGAGATGAGAAGAAGGCCAAGGACAGAGTAGGAGAAGAGGTTGACATTTAGGGGACAGAAGCAGGAAGAGCAGTCAGTGAAGAAGACGGAGAAGATAATAGGAAAGCCAGAGGAACAAAGAAGAGAATCCCTGAGAGGCTATGGATGGTAGACAGAACACTGACCTTAGAGCGGGAAGACTTAGATCTTAATCCTTTCTTAGACGCTTGCTGTGTCTAAGACCTTGGACCAAAGCACTTACCTTCTTTGGGCCTCAATTTCCCTATCTGTAAAATGAAGTGGTTGGACTATATGACCTCTTTGCTGTTGTTGTTCAGTCTCCTATTTGGGGTTTTCTCTGCAAAGATACTAAAGTGGTTTGCCATTTCCTTCTCCAGCTTATTTGACAGATGAAGAAACTGAGGCAAAAAGAGTGAAGTGACTTGACCAGGGTCACATAGATAGTAAATGTCTGAGGCTGGATTTGAAACCAGGAAGATGAGTCTTTCTGACTCGAGGTCAAGAGCTCTATCTGCTGTGCCACCTAGCTGCCCTGTATGACCTCTAAGGTCCCTTAAATCTCTGCTCTATGGTTCTTTGCATCCTCAGCACTTAGCACAGTGCCTGGCACAGAGTAAACACCTTGGAAGTGCTTATGGACTGACTGCCTGTCATATTATGACTATCAAGAACTGGGGGAAGGTTTAAAAGAAAGAGAAGTGAGGAAGGGTAGCATGATTGAGTGATTAGTGATTGCTGATGACCTTTAAGAAAGGAGCTTAAGTAGAGGCGTGGAAAGGCTTAAGGAATGGAGTGTTGAGTCAGATCAGCTGAATGAATGAATGAATGAATAAATGAAAAAATGAACGAACAAAAAAACGAAGGAACGAATGAATGATAAAGCACTTACTATGTGCAAAGTACTGGGCATACAAAAGCTCTTGAAGAGCTCACACTCAAATGGGGGAGATAAACATATAAAATGTTCCAAGTATGAGTCAATAGATGGGTTCTGTGGTCCTCAGGGGACAGTGGCAAAGGAGCTAACAGTGTAACTTCTTGGATATCTTTTCCATTGACAAAATCATATCATTTTCTGAAAGAACCATCTGACAGTGCGAAAGACATCAGTAGTGAGCAGCCGTGATGTGTAGCACCTGGCAGTGAGTGGCCAGGCTGTATTTGCCCTGGGGCTGCTTTTCAGAATGATGGCTGTGAGGGCTAGGCTGGAAGCAGGAGAGGGGGTGAGGAGGTCACAGGGGTACTGTCATTCCCAGGTTCTTAGGCTTACCTGCCAATTCATGGCAGTTAGTTAGTGGTTGGTGCTGGTGGTGGTGAAGAAGGTCATACTACATGAAGATGATTCTTTGATGTTTGGTGGCAAATAGACAGAGAGAGAGAGAAGGAGAGATAGGCAGAGAGAATGAGAGAAAGAGGAGAGAAAAGGAGAGAGAGAAAGAGAAGGAGAGGCAGAGAGAAGGAGAGGCAGAGAGAGAGGAGAGAGAGGCAGAGAAAATGAGAGAAAGAAGAGAGGGAAGGAGAGAGAGAGAGGAGAGAGTCAGAGAGGGAAGGAGGACTATGGCAAAAGGGGATGAAAATAGAGCATGAAAGATTATCCTTAGAAAGCAAGAGAGACAAGAGATGATGGTTAAAGATACAGTGCAACTTTGGGGTGGAGAGAAGGAAAATCAAATCAATCCACAAATATTTACTAAGTGCTTACTATATGTGCCCAGCACTGTGCTAGGTACTGAGGATAAAAAGACAAAAACAAGATGGTTCCTGCCCCTCAGGGAGCTTACACTGTATTGGAGGCAACACATACAACGCAGATATAAGGTGATTGGGGAAGGAGGGAAGGTACTGTCTACTGGAGGCATCTGGAGAGACATTCTGGAGGTGGTGAAGCTTTAAAAGAAACTAGGGGTTCCAAGGGGAGGGGGATGGCTTCACTCTTCTCACTGTAAAATATCAGACAAGGTCATCTAATGAATGTGCTGATGGGAGACATTTGGGTCTTTCCTCAGGGTCCATATTGCTTCTGACTGTCCTTATCTCCCCATGGAAACTCCCAGGTTTTGTCCCTGCTTCCCATTGTTCCCAGGTCACAGGAAGATAAGTTCATTTTCTGTAATGGGCTCAGTGTTTTGGACCCAACAAGGAAGCCCAGCTAGACAACCCTTGCCTCCTGAGAGCCCTGCCAAAGAAAGGGGATTTTACATTTTTGGTGTAACTATAAATCCGTGCCATGAAACAGTTCGCCTGTTGGTCAGTCACCGACAGGCCTTGCCTGTCACCGTGGGCTGAGGCCTGTACTGGGCACCATGCAAGGGTATAATCTTCCGTTTATCAAAGAGAATGCTTTAGGTGAAGACAATTTACCAGTGTGCTCCCAGTCTAATAGATCTTAAATGGGATCCCCAAATGTCACTTTGCAGGGCACCCCTCTGAGCTTTCCCCAGGCATTGAAGAGGAAGAGTCCAAGAGTGTCTGTGACGTCATGCCCAACATCTCTGATGTGCTGCTCCATAAACTACGAGTTCATAAGGCCCTTCCTGGCAGGTAAAACTCAACATGGTCTCCAGAAAGCTTGGTGTCAATTTGGTCAGCCCAAAGAGACCTATGAGGTACTGACATGCCCAGTTCTGTGTTACACTCTTTGTGGGGTACAGAGATAAATTAGACATGGTTGCTTCCCTCAAGAAATTGGGGGGGGGGACCAGTGAAAACTATGTGAATGAGACCTGGAAGGTAGTGGGAGTTCCGAGAAGAGAGAAATCACTGTGGGCTAGAATAGTCAGAATAGACTTCCCAGAGGAGGCAACGTTTCCTGGTAGGTAGGCCTGTTGAGTGGAATTTCCAATTACAGATCAGAAGGTGGTTTGGTTAGCATAACCTCTGGCCAGAGGAAGCTGGCCTTGCTTCCAAATTCTACACAGTTCCCATTCAGCCTTGCTCTAGAATTAATATCAGGAAAATCTTAATAGAGATGGTGTGCATTGTAGAAGGTTGGCTTTAAGAGTCAGAAAGACACAGATTCAAGTCCTGACTTTGACACATACTGGCTGTGTGACTCTGGGCCTAGTCACCTAGCTGCTCAATGCCCAAGGCCATTCTCTAAGACCATAAATTGTTTTAAAAAAAAGTGTTGAACTGTTGGAAGAGAATTCTCTACATGGATGAAATTACAGCCCACAACCTGGGCAAAACCAAGGAGAATTCAAATTAGGTTGCAACAATTCTCCCCGCTAGTCATTAAAGGCAACATTTCCCATCCTGGTCCATGAACTCAGAAGGCCTTGTTTTGTGTGTTTCTGTCACTTGTGTCACAGAAGCCAGGATCATGGATTTATAACTGGAAAGGGTCCTCAGAGGCCATCTACAACAGTTCCCTCCTTTTATAAATGAGGAACCTGAGGTCCACAGACGTTAAATGTCTTGGAAAAGGTCACACAGATAGTGATCGATTCACGATTTGAGCTCAGGTGTATAACTCCCTATAAAATATTCCTCCTACTAGGCCCTACTCCCTTTCAGTCCTTTTCAGGAAGATCCTAACCCCTCTAAAAGGCACTTGGTGGCCCTATCAGAGACAGCATATTAAGCTAGAAGGGGCCATGAGAAATTCACATCTTCTTAACTAAGTCACCACATGGAAAAGTTCAAGTGATCTGAAAGTTATTGTAGATCCATAGGATACTGTGGCCTTGGACTCAAGAGGCCAAAACTGTAGTTTGGGAGTGGTACCTCAAGAGAGACAGTGTGGTCTAATGGAAAGAGCAGATGAACTAGTTTCAAATCCTAGCTTTGCCGTTAACTACCTGTGAGACCTTCAGCAAGCAGCATGATCTCTTTGGGTCTCAGTTTCCTCTTTTGTAAAGATTCGAACTTGGATTTGGAGTCTTCTGACTCCAAATATAGTGTTCCTTTCTTTGCTCTCCCCAAGGTCCTCTTCTGCTCTGCGAATTCCTGATGAGTCTAACGACCAAATTCTGAAACTCAGAGAATGGGCTCAGTTTTAAAAATCGGGTGAATTTATTGGGTTGTTTAAGGCAGCCACAAGAGACCCGTTGCTGATAAATCATCCTTCTTTCCTCTGCCTCATTGCCTCGTGGCATGATCAATCTCAAGTTAGCCCTGGTTTGAATTCAGTTCAGTTCAATTCAATTCAGCAAGCATTATTAAGCACCTACTACGTGCCAGGCACTATGCTAAGTGCTTTACAAATATTAGCTTATTTGATCCTCACAACAATCTTGAGAGGTAGGTGCTATTGTTTTTCCAATTTCAGTTGAGGAAACTGAGGCAAACATAGGTTAAGTGACTTGCCCAGAGTCACACAGCTAGTAAGTTTCTGAAACTGGATTTGAATTCAGTTCTTCTTGACTCCAAGCCCAAAGCTCTAATTTGTTCTCCCTAGTGGACTCTTCCAACCTTCCCAAGGATTCTTATCGATAAGGCAGATTGTTAAATGGGTCTGAAGGATTAGCTTAATGTTTCCTCTTTGACACCAAAGGATTGGGGGCAGCTAATGGTACAGTGGATAGAGCACTGGAGTTAGGAGGAACTGAATTCAAATTCAGCTTCAGACACTTACTAACTGTGTGACCCTGGGCAAGTCACTAAACTCTGATTATCTCAAAAGAAAAAGAAAGAAAGAAAGAAAGAAATGAAAGGATAGTAGACTTGGAGCCAGAAAGACTTTAGAGACCATTCATCCAGCTCCCTGATTTTAGGAATGAGCAAACTGAGGCCTAGAGGGAATAAATGATTGCCCCAGGTTCAGTAGAGTCACATTCGTACTCAGGACTCTTCTCCCTTGTACCAGGCTACATTTCTGGAGCCGCACTGTTTCTTAGCCTTACACTTCAAGTCTGGCTTACCCATGATGTGACCAGTCTAGTGGAGTCCAGCTGAAGAAACTCCCTCTGCCAGTGCTGATTGGCAAACCACTTGTAACTTAGGGTCTTGGAGAGTTGCCTGGAAGCAGGAAGGGGTTAATTGACTGGTTCATGGCCAGGCAACTAACATGTTCAAGGGCCTTACCTGAATCCAGGTAGATGTTCCTAAGTCTGATGCTCCATATTCTGTCCATTTATTAGGTAGTGCCCCTCTGGAGTTTGAGCTATTAATTTTTTTAAAAAATCTAAATGAAATAATCAGATGTCAATAATGGTAGCAGTAAAGGGTAGAAATACAAAGATCCAGATTGGGATGGGATATTTGACAGCCCATGGCCCACTCCCATGGAAGAAAGCCAACTGGAGAACCCAAGTCATCTCAGTCTTGGCCAGGGGGGAATCAGCCACCTACCCTGCTCTGGCTGCTCACAGAAAGCAGCATCAGGGCAGATTCCCTAACATCTAAACAGGAAGGATCCTGGCGGCCTTCAATTGGGGTGACCAGCACCCCGCCTCACCAGAGAAGGTCTGACCTTGCACCTCCATCCAGGGCGGCAGAGGAAGCAGGGCTTCCTGAGCATCTTATCCTTGATCTGTTCTGTTACTGGGTGGGGCAAAGCTGTTAGGTCCCCTTGTTCTCCCTCACTTCCCACCCTCAGTTAAGCCTGCACCACCCCAAGACAGGAAAGAAACGGGCCCCAGCTTTATTTACAGAGCCCAGGGATTTTTAACAATAAGCCGCTTTCTCACTGCCTCAAGACGAGGAGATAAGACTTGCCTGCTGACTTGGTGAAAAAAAAAAAAAAAAAAAAAGGTGCTCCTTGGCCTTGGCCAGTGTCAGACATCCTTTCCGTGCTGAGTCAGCCTCCTTCGTTCAGAAAGATGCCACTCTGCTCCTCCTTGTCTTCTCCCTTTCAGTATCTCCCAGCCAGAGAGTTGGGGAGACAGGCTAGAGCAGCTTTGGAGGGCTCAAACATACTCTGATGTGAGCCCACCCAGCCCATTGGCCCAGAACCAATCAGTCAACAAGCATTTATTAAGTGCCTACTGTGTGTACTGCACTATGCTAGGTACTGGAGATATTAATACAAAATTTTTTTTAAAAAGTCCCTGCCCTCGAGGAATTCTTATTCTAGCAGGAGAAGAGGAGGGGGAAAATGTGTGTGTGTGTGTGTGTGTGTGTGTGTGTGTGTGTGTGTGTGTGTATAGAGAGAGATATACAAAACAGGTACAAAGAAAGTCATTTGGGAGGGAGGCATTGGGGTGGTGGGGAGTCAGGAAAGGCTTCATATAAAAGCTTGAAACTTCTTAAATTTGGTATTCCTGATTCTGAGATCTGCCCTCTATTGACTATGTAGTGTCGCCTCTGGAGCTTTGGCTATTAATTGATTTTTTGAAAATAATTATAGCTAATATTTATACAGCACTTACTATGTGCCAGGCACTGTGCTAAGTGCTTTACAAATGTTATCTCATTTGATCCTCATGACAACCCTGGGAGAAAGGTCCTGTAATTGTCCCCATTTTACAGATGAGGGAACTGAGGCAGGCAGAGGTTAAGTGAATTGCCCAAAGTCACATAACTAATAAGTGTCTGAGGCCAAATATGAACTCAGGTCTTCCTGCCTCCAGGTCCAGCACTCTAAAAATCAGATGTACATAATGGCAGCAGGGAAGGATAGATGTTCTAAGAGGTAGAGGGGAGGAGGGAGGATACTCCAGGCATGCAGGACAACCAGTGCAAGCAAAGGCTTGGAGGTGGGGGATGGGACACACATCAGCTCTCCATTCTCACCAGCCTGGTGTGCTGCAGGCCTCCTCTGAGCAGACCCAGACAGGATCCTAGGGTTAGATAAGCAGCCTTTCAGTTACTTTGGAGGTGAAATCATAAGCATCTTTTTCCTCCTTTCTCCTAGTGCTCCTCCGCTTACTGAAAAGGAAGTTGAGGTAAGTACCCCACAGTTCTCATGAAAGTCCATCCTTATCCAGGCTAAACTGACCTGTTCTGCTTCCGTGATGCTTTCACACAGACACAGGCCTAAGTGTTGGGGAGAAGATATGATGCGACCACTTGGGGTCTGTCCACCACAACTCTTGACAGCCTTCATTAACTTCTGAGAATCTCGTGTCTATTTAGATAGTTAGATAGATAGATAGACAGACAGATAGATAGACAGATAGGCAGACACAGGTAGATAGGATAGGCTGAAATAGGTCGGTAGATAGATAACACTAATTGGGACAAAGGTCATTGGAATCTAAAGCCACTTGGAATTTTCTCCCTTCAAAAATTCCTGAAAAATGACATTTGGAGCAGAGAAGGTAGGCCTTCTTTTTCTATGAGAAAGCTGGGGACCATGGGATGATTTAAATGGAATAAAATTAATTCACAAAGAATTAAAAGGTGGAGTTTACCTGTGCTTTGCTTTTAAAACTTGAGACTTGGTCTTTAGCTTCCTTGTACTCGAGGAAAAAGTACTAGGCAGTTGCTGCAGCCCCAGCTCATGTTGCTGACCCCTCCCACAAAGATTTGGTGATATGTAAAGGGACCCAAAATTAATCAATCAACCAGCATTTATTGAGTACCTACTATGTGCCAGGCACTATAGCCCTGCAAAACACCAATCCAGGGAAAGTAAGCAGGGAGGGCAGTCAGTAAACATTTACTGAGAGCCTACTGTGTGCCAGGCACTGTGCCAAGTTGCACTGGGGTTGCAAAGAAAGGCATGACAGTGCCTGCCTTCAAGGAGCTCATAGTCTAATGGAGGAGACAGCCTGCAATAACCATACACGAACAAGGTACAAACTGAACAGGAATAAACTGAACAGAGGGAACTGGGATGAAGAGAAAGAAGCATCCTGAGCAGAGGTAGTTCTCCTTTCTTGGTGCACCAGAGAGGGGGAGGAAGCAGGAAACCATTCCCCTCCTTTAAGAGCCCTTTGTTTTTCTGACCTTTTTTCGTCCTCCTCTCAAAAGCAAAACACATTCAACTTAGAGAAGAAAGACCCAGCTGATGGCAATATTACTATTTCAAAGCAGAAAAAAGAAATCGGTTACTGGACTGAGGAGTTGAGGAAATTAATGCAAAGAAAGTATGTTATCTCAGCTCCCAAAAGGAGATGAGAGGAGGGGAAATGTGAGAAAATGTGTTCATGTACATGTTTGTATTACGTATTTCATGCCAGTGGTAATGCGTTTCAAAATATAGTCAATTCTTAATTTATATTAATTTATTGTGGGGGAGGGGAAGTACAGGGTGGGGACAGAGACATGAGCAACATAAAAACATTAAAATGCAAAAATCATTTTTACTTCATTTGAAAAGACATCCCAATATGTCTAATATGAATGTATATGTAGAGCCTATATAAGATTGCAAGCCATCTTAGGGCAGGGAGAAAATTTGGAACTCAAAATCTTATGGAGGTGAATGTTGAAAACTAAAAATAAATAATTAATATTAAAAAAAGAAAAGGCACCCCAGGGTTTGGCAGCATATTTGCTCATTTAATTGTGTTTCTCTTTGGCAAATATTAAGAAAGAGTTTACCTGTTTTCCCTGGGTGTACAGAAAGAGACAGCATGAGGAATTTATTTATAGGACTAGAGATTTAGAACTGGAAGTGAACTTCCAGGTCATCTAATCCTCCAATTTTACAGATGAGGAAACTTGCCCAAGGCCTTACCAGTACTAAGTAGCAGAGGGAGGGTTTGAACCCAGGTCTTTTAACTCTAAATCAGGCACTCTTTCCATTAGACTGGTTCCCTCCCTAGTCCTGGAGGCCAGAGAGAAAGCAGCCTGGGATCCAAAAAGATCCCAAACTGCCCATTAGAATAGAGAGTCCACAGGCAAATGGTGGAGAGGGGTCCATCATAGATAATACGGTGCTCAGGCTCCCCAGGGAGAGAGTAGTGTGACTGAGGACTGACTGAGTTACTTGGGAAGTGTATTCAAGAACAAGCCATCTGGCATTTGTGAAGGTGCGCCCTGAGCTGTTTGTTTAATGGCCAAACATCATCAGCAAAAACCTCAGCAAGGTGAGGTTGTTCAGCCAATTAGGCTGGGCTCTTACCCTACCCCAGTCAGCAGCCAGCTGCACATGGCCAACAGAACAGCCTCCTATCTATGCATGGAAATGTCCAGTTTTACTAACATGGTTGTTGGTTTACTCAGATCTGCTGCTGATTGACCCAGGGCAGAGCCAATAAGAGGCTGAGAAGATGAAGACCATCACCTTCATTCATTCATTCATTCATTCATTCATTCATTCATTCATTCATTCATTACTAACACACATTTAGCTCCTGCTAGATGCTATGTACCTTGTATGGCCCTAAGGGAGGTACAAAGATGATCATCATCATTAATAATTAATTATAGTAACTGTTAATGTAGTACTTTAAAATTTGCAAAGTTCTTTATGTATATTATCTTTTTTAATCGTTACAACAGATAAAGAAACTAAAGTTTAGAAGCTTAAATTACTTGACTGTGATCCCATGGCTAGTAAGAATCATAGGTAGAATTTGAAGCAGGTCCTCCTGGTTCCAACACCAAAAGTCTAAACACTATACTATACTGCCTCTCAAGACATAGTTCCTTGCCCCTGAAAGCTTCCAGGCTGGCAGAGAGCTAGGGCATGTACAGAGATGAATATGATACAGCTTAAAATGTAAGTATATGAGTAGTGTCCCTGGTATTATGCAATCAGTGCAGAGAGATCCTACTTCCGCTGAAGAGTTTCCATCTGCCCAAGTCTCTTCCCCAGTGGTTTCCTACATGGGCTCAGACCAGGAAGCCCCTTCTCTGTGATTTTCACCTTTTTAAAGGTCAATCCTGCACTCAGAGATTTTTGCAACTAATGTTTATACAAAGTCCTAATTGAACCTCAGGGGGTCTTTAAAAAAAAAAGTCTTCTGGCAGCCATTTAAAGTTGTTGTTTGGGCAGAAACTGGGAAATGTGATATGAATGCTGGCTGAAGTGCCTTTTAAATCAGCAAGACCTATCCTTCACACCAGTTTTCCTTAAATATAGTTTTTCCATGTGAAACCCTTTGGCCATAAATCCCCCCAGCTAATCCAAATTGCTTACATTGGCTTGGCTAAGTACCCCTGGCTTATTTAAACCAAAGTTGCTATCATGGATTTTCTTCAATTCCATGGAGAGCAAGGCATTTTTTTTTTGGCCAACTTTAGTGAACTGCACTGACTCTATTTCCCTTCTCTTAAGTCTCCTGTGTCCATATATTGCTGGTTTTATGGCTTTCCGAAGCTTTTCCATAGGTTCTTAACATCTCAGAGTTGAAAGAAGAGAATTTAGCAATCTTTGGATCATAGGCTTAGAGCCAAAAGGGACCTTAGAAAGCCATCTGGTCCAATCCCCTCATGGTACAGTAGTGGAAGCGGAAAATCATAGAGAGTGAATGGCCTGGCCAAAGTCACAGAGCCAAAAACTGGTGAGTCCCAGGGCAAGGGTAGAGACCAGGTCCAATCTGATGTTCTTCCCAGAATCTCTTGAAAGGTCCTCAGCCGACGTGATGTTTGAAATTCCATTCTCACTACTGGAGGGTAAGGCATTAAAGTTATCTGGGAGGAAAAACTGTTTTTTTGTTGTTTTTTTTAAGTCATTGTCATCCATTAACACCTTGCTCTGATCTGGTTTACCACCTTAGCCTTAGAGAACCTCTGTTGAGGGGGATTTTGACGGGTGTTTCCATGGTTTGGTAAGCTATGTTAATACAAGTTCTTGTGGTGGAAAGAACTCTGATTTGGAATTAGAGGACCAGTGTCCAAATATCAGCTCTGCCACTAACTACCCAAAGTCATTTTTGTTCTCTGGGCCTCAGTTTCCTCATCTGTAAAATGAGAGGTTTGGACTAGAACGTCTCTGACATCCCATCTGGGTCTCAAATCTCCAGATAAGTCACAAGCTAGACCTTCTAACCTACAGCAGCTCCTCCTTGCCCTTCTCCTCCACTTTTTCTCCCCCTCCATAGAATGTGTTTGTACAACTGTCCTTGGCCTTCCGAAATGACAGCTACACCCTGGAGTCGAGAATTAGCCAGGCTGAGAGGGAAAGGAACCTGACGGAAGAGAACACCGAGAAGGAGCTGAACAACTTTAAAGCTTCAATCACGGTGAGGAAGGAGCCGGGCTCTGACAGTGCCCAAGGGCCAACTCATCTCTGAGCTGTCCCCAGGCCGTAGCAACCCCTGCCTGCAGAGAGCGGGAGGGGAGGGAATACTTACTAGTTCTGTGGAAAGGGTGTGTCTGAGGACCAGGCCAGTTACACAGGGAGGAGGTAAGTGAGGGGGACCACCAGGGAGCTAAATTAGAATTACGAATTGACTGTATTTGTAACTGGAAGGCGATTAGTTGGTGGGCAGAGGAGAAGGAGATGACCGATTAGCACATCTGATCATTCAATGAAGATGCAACATGACAGAGTAGATGGAGGGCTGCCCTTGAGCCCAGAAAATCTGGCTGAGGACCCATCTCTGTCACATGATATGGCTGTGTGACCCTGGGCAAGTCAAATTGCAGGGAAGGTGCCAACCCTGAATTGGTAGCAGGAACTTCCTTCCTCATCTAGGAGTCCCTGTATCATAAATTGAGAGATGCAGTTATATCCTGTTATCTGCCATCAGGAAGGCAGGCCTGGCTTTACATGTTTTTCCAAGACTACTCTGCCTCCTTTTTAGGAATCCCCAAGAGCAGCCTGAGGGGTGGGATGAGGGAAAGGTTTGCCTAAGTGACGGTGTGGCTTGGTAGTGAGGGTTATGGGCTGAAGACATCTGTGTAGGTGTGTGAATTTCAGGCCTTTTTTAGTCCCAGATGATGAGGCTAGCTTCTCCCTTGCCTTTTGCCTTCCTTCCCTGACCACTGATGTGTGTTTCTTTTTCATTTGGGGGTTTAAAAAATCTTTTGTCCCGAGTTTTTGGCTGTGTAGGAGGCTTCCAGTTCACCAAAGCACAGGGGGTGAGTCTGACTAAAGGGCAGGTTGAATTTCCACTGGAAACCAGGAGCAGCTTCACCAGGGCAGGCCCAGAGGCTCTGATTCAGCCACCAGCAGCTGTGGGATGGGGAAGGGGAAGATGGGGTACATAGGGGGAGCATTCAGATCTCCCCCGATCCTGCTTTCCTCCACCCCAACTGTGACTCAGAATGTCCCATCTCCTCCCTCCCATCAGTCCTCAGCATCCATCTGGCAGCCCTGTGAACACCGAGAGACCTATGAGAAGCTGCTGGAAGATGTTGCCGTCCTGCATCGCCTGGCCGCTCGCCTCTCCAGCCGTGCTGAGATGGTCGGGGCTGTCCGCCAGGTCAGACCACTGACCTCCCTCCTTCCACCTTCCCTCTCCAGACCCTGCTCATCTCAAGACATTGCTGGCCCTAAAGGGAGCAGTCAGCCATTCCACTATGCTGGGGCACGGGGGGGGGCCAGGTGGCCCTGAAGGACATGAAAGGAGAGTGAGCTGCATTGCTCCTCCCTGAACTCAGGTCTCATCCCCAGAGTAAAACAAGTCAGCAAGCATTTATCAAGCACCTACTATATATGCCAAGTACTATGCAGGGATACAAAGAAGGGGGCGGGGGAATAGTCCCTTCTAATGGGTGAGACAACATGCAGATAACTACGTACATGCAAGATATAGACAGAGTAAAATGGAGGTAATCCCAGAGAGAAGGTATGGGCAGGGGTGGTAGAGAGGAAAGGCCTCTTATAGAGACTGAGCTTGGTGAGTCCTAAGGGAGGCTAGGAGGCAGAGGTAAGGAGAGAAAACATTCCAGGCACCAGGAACAGACAGTTGATGAATGGAGTGTCATCTTCGAGGAACCTCCAGAAGACCAGTGTGAAAACTGAGGCCCAGAGAGAGGAAGGGCCTTACCCAGGACAGATTATGTATGTGTAATTGGGCTGAATCTAGTGAGATGAAATGTAAGAGAGATAAAGAAACATCTTACATCTGGGTCCAAATAATCAGCTTCACAAACTGAGAAGGCTCACATGGCTAGACAGCCTCTGAGAAAATCTCTGGAGGCTTTTGTTGACTGTTGTAGTGGGATATGGCAGCAAAGAAAGTCAGAGAAATGTTAGGCTGCTTTTAGAGACACTGAGCCTTCTCAATAGCTCAGTTGTGTGTGTGTGTCTCCTTTTAGTGGGGCCAATGGTGAACTGGCCAGAGTCCCGAGGAGGTCAGCCAGGTTAGGGAAAGGGCTTGACTTCATGCCATGAGAGTTAATTGAAGGAACTGGAAATGATTTAGGAGGGATGTGGTAGCAATCTTCAAATATTTGGAGGGCTGTCTCATAGAAGAGGTGTTAGATTTATTCAGCTTGACTTCAGGGGGCAGAACCAGGTATACAAAGGGTAGGTGGTGTAGCAGCAATGTGGACTTAATATAAAAGGAAACTTCCTACCAATTAAAGCCATCCCAAAGTCTGAATGTGTTTCCTTGGAGGGTAATGAGTTTCCTTTCAGTGGAAATATTTAAACAAAGACTAAGTGATAGCATGGGTATGAGAGTAAGGGGGATTCTTATTCAGGTGCGGGTTGGACCCATGAGGTTCTTTTCAGCTCTAAACATCTAAGAGTTAATAATGATTAGCTGGGGAAGACATGTTCTCTGGACTTGCCATCCCATCTCCTGTCCCAGAGGATCCCAGCAGACCATCCCCCCATGCCTGGAAGCCACTCCCTTGTCATCTCTGCCCCTCAGAGTTAATGCGCTCCTTCTAGGACCAGCAAAGGCACCACCTCCTTCAAACAGCTTCCCCAATGCCTCCTCTGGCTGCTGGCATTCGCTTCCCCTTAAGTTAGCATGTGTCATCCTCACTTATATATATACTGCAGCCCTCCAAGAAAGTGGAAGCTTCTTGAGGGCAGGGCTATTCTATTTTTGCCTTTATAGCATCAATACCCAGAACAGTGCCTGGCACACAGTAGGTGCTTAATTGTTGTCGAGTTGTTTCAGTCCCGACTGTTCATGACCCATTGGGGTTTTCTCGGCAGAGATAGTGGAATGGTTCGCCATTTCCTTCTCCAGCTCATTTGATAGATGAGGAAACTGAGGCAAACAGGCTTAAGGGACTTGCCCAGGGTCATACAGCTAATAAATGTCTGAGGCTAGATTTGAACTCATGAAGATGAGTCTTCCTGACTCCAGGCCCAGCACTCTATCCACTGTGCCACCTGAATGGAATGGACTCTCACCCTCCTCATTTTGAATGCTAGGCCTCTATTGAAAGTCTGATAGCTCTCATTGGTAGGTTTTCTGGCTGCCATGTCAGTCTGTTGACTCCTATTGAGCTTCAAGTCTGACTTTCTTCACTTATCTTAGCTGCTGTCCTCTGTGACATCTAGCTTGGCAGATATATAGGGTGTCCCAAAAGTCTTAGTGCAGGATTAAGCTCTTAAAACTTAAAACTGCGCAAAGGCTTTTGGGCCATCCTTGTACAGGTCTATATGGAAGGACACACTTCCTAAATGATCTCTGGGATCTCTGACATATTATCCTTCAAGGCCCCACCCAGCTCTGACAGTCTGTGTCCTAAATTCTGAGTTCTCCCAGGGTGTGACAGTGCAAAGAGTATCGGACTTAGAATCAGGGGCTCTGGGTTCAAATCCCACCTTTGTCATTTCCTACCTATGTGAGCTTGATCAAGTCACTTTAATTAACCGAGCCTCAGTTTCCTCATCTGTAAAATGAGGGAAACTGGATGAAATGATCTCTAAGATTCTTTCTAGTTCTAGATCTGGGCTCCTATGGTTCTGCCTCTGGTATTCCCTATCAATCAAGTCCCAGTGGGTTATTTCTTCCCATTGCTTTATCTGTCTTGGTTCCCTAACCTTATTTGCCTCTCTTGTCTCTCTTTCCTCTTAGGAAAAGCGAATGTCAAAGGCTGCAGAGGTTATGATGCAGTATGTAGAGAATTTGAAGAGAACATATGAGAAGGACCATGCGGAGCTCATGGAATTTAAGAAACTAGCAAACCAGAATTCAAGTCGAAGCTACGGTCCCTCTGGTAAAACCGAGTGGGATTTCTGTCACCCAACAGTGTGTATCTCAGGTCCCTGGGGGGGGGGGGGGTGTGAAACCTGGCCCTGCAGCAGTCAGGCAGGCAGCTGGTACAATGAAGTGCCTACTGTGTGCTAAGAGCTGCAGATACAAAGAAGGGCAGAATCAGTCCCTGCCCTTCAGGAGCTTGCAGTCTAATGAAGGAGGCAGCAGCACACAAACAAACTATAGAAAGGATGACTAGGGAGTTGTCTGGGAGGGAAAGCACCAAGGTTGGAAAAGAGTTCCTGCAGAAGGCAGGACTTTTGCTAAGGGAAGTCAGGAGGCAGAGTTGAGCAGGGGGAGCATTCTGAGCATGGGGGACAGCCAGTGAAGACACCAAGTTGGGGAGGAAGTGTCTTGTTCAAGAAACAGCCAGAGGCCAGCATCACCTGACTGAAAGGCCTGGGGAGGGCAGTAAGGGGTAAGGAGGCTGGCAAGGGCTGTCCAAACCAACCAGAGGATCTTATATTTGATCCTGGAGGCGTGGGAGTGGGGGCGGGGGATTAAGGACAGACCTGCATCTTAGGAAGGTCAGTTTGACAGTTGAGTGAAGCTGGCTGATCTGGGAAAGACTCGAGGCAAGGAGACTGATCAACAGACCGTGGAAGTAGTCCAGGTGTGAGGTGATGAGGGCAGCTGGGTGGTACGGTGGGTAGAGCACCCGACCTGGAGTCAGGAGGACCTGAGTTCAAATTTGACCTCAGACACTTACTAGCTTTGTGATCCTAAGCAAGTCACTTAACCCCATGTACCTCAGTCTCCTCATCTGTAAAATGGGCTGGAGAAGGAAATAGAAAAACCGCTTCAGTTTCTTGGTAAAAACAAAACAAAACAAAGCCCAAATAGGGTCATAGAAAGTTGGACATGACTGAAAAGCAACTGAACATCATTGTGTAAATTGGATTAGATGGCTTCATAGCCCCTTTCTCCTTCTAAATCTCTGACCTGGTGACTCCACCCACCAGCTGGCAGCAGGTAGGGGAGGCCAGAAGGGTGTTTAAAGACAGAAGAATTCCATGGGATCCAAAGCATTTGGCAGAATGTACAAAGAGCAGAGAGTGTGCCCTACATAAGTAAGCAGTGACTACTAAGGATATGCTGAGGGACTTTATTCCAGTTTCACTCAGCAAACATTTGTTTATTTAAGCACCTGCTGGGTTGTGCTGTGGGTCTGGTGCAGACAGAGGTGCATGATCAATAAGACACAGCCCTGCCCTCAGGCAGCTTGGAGAAAGGAAATGAGGTGTGCACAGAGATAGATGGAATACAAGTTAGAACATTGTAAACCCAGAAGTGTACTCTGCCTTGAAGTCAGATGGTTCACCTCTGGCATTTGGGGGCAGCAGCAAGTTTTCTGCTGGAGGTATCATCAGAGTGCAGTCTCGAAGGTTGGGTGGGATAGCAGCAGTTGGAGATAGTGGCCAGCAGGCCATTCCAGGCCCTGAGACAAGTAGGAGACGTTGCAGGAAATGTCTGGGGGTCGGGCAGTCTGGATGAAGCCCAGAATTTGTGAGCAGGGGAAGGAGAGTACATTAAGGCTGGAAAAACTGGGGCCTGATAGGATGCAGACATCCTGAAAAACGACCTTGTTTACTCCATATATTTTGTTGATTAAAATCCAATACTTACAACCTGGAACCAAAGAGGTGATGGAGAAAACAGTGAACAGCCGCTCAGCATCCACACCAGGGGGAGCAGAGATTATACAACAGGTTTAGGAGTCCACGACTTACTACCTTAGACAATGGCCTGATTCTCAGAGGAGTTAAGGGAATCATTGCCCATGGTCACACAACTGGTCACACTGTTAGAGGTGAGATTTGAATCCAGTTTTTTTTTCTTTAACTCTAAGTGCAGAAGTCTACGCATTATACCACATGTTGTAATAGAGGTTAATTAACACTAATAATGTAAAGGTAAAAAGGCCTCCTGGTTCCCAAGGCTGAGTTCAGGTATGTCTCTATGACTGGTTATAAAAGATATGGTCTAAGTCTGATCTGTTAACCCATTGGTTCTCTCACATGAGGGGAGATAAAGCCAAATTACAAGAAAATTGCCAAAATCACCATTTTGATGCATGGATTTTTACTAATGAATCAGAGGGGAGTGATGGGACTTGGCATATTTTAATGCCAGTGTTATCTCTCCTTGACTTATCATTTCTTTGCTAAAAGAGCCCAGACAGTGTTCATGGTTGTTACTGCCATGATGAGATAACATAGGGCTATGATATATACTCACAATGATAAGTCTGGATTAGTAAAAATATGATGTGATGTTTAGTTGTTTTTCAGTCATGTCTGATTCTTTGTGATCCCTTTTGGGGTTTTCTTGGCAAAGATACTAGAGTGGTTTGCCATTTCCTTCTCCAGCTCATTTTACAGATGAGGAGACTGAGGCCAACAGAGTGAAGTGACTTGCCCAGGGTCACACAGCTAGTAAGTGTCTGAGGCTGGATTTGAACTCAGAAAGAGGAGTCTTCCTGACTCCAGGCCCAGCACTGTATCCACTGCACCACCTAGTAGAAATAGAAGGCCCAGAAAAAGTGGGATGATAGTCCTTCTGCGCTCTACCCTGCTCAGACCATGGGCATTATGTTCAGACATTGACATTCTAGAATGTGTCCAGGAGAGGTCAGACAGGCAGTGAGTTCCCTATCACTAGAAGTATTCAGGTACATAAGCATATGTCAGGGATATCATACAATGGGCATCTTTGGGTGCATTAGATGGCATCTGATGTCCTTTCCAGCTCAAAGATTTTATTATTCTAAGAGTGAGAACACTGGAAAATAAGCCTTGACTCTGATAATAATGGCTAGACCTGTTATAATATAATATGTATAATAATTGCTATAATAACTGTTTTACACAGTGCTTTAAGGTTTGCAAATCACTTTAATTATGTTCTCTGGTCGATTCTTACAATAACCCTGCAAGGCAAGCGCTATTACCCTCATTTTAAAGACGAGGAAGCTGAGTCAGAGAGGTGAAGTCTCAGGATCTCACAAGTACCCACAATCACACAAATGCCTGAGGCAGGATTTGAACTCACACCCTCTTGAATCCAAATCCAATCCTCTATCCACTATATATCCACCTAGCTATCCCTGCAGAGCTGACTAGCTGTTTCTGCCTGGTGTCTTCTCATTTCACTTTCAGGCCAGTTGCTAGAGTCATCAAAAACTGTTTCCCAGCAAGTAAAGCCCGTGCCAGAGAGAACAAGAGTTCTGGCTATTGAGAGATAAACAGCAGAAGAAAATGGACCTTTTTGAGCCCACAATTCCTGGTTATTTCAAACATCCTTAGTTACAAAGAGCTGGAGGAGAAGGGAATTCAGAAAGCATGTCCCAGATGGAGAAATCTTTATAAACAGAACACTCAGAGAGTTTTCTGGGGAGTATCAACAGCTTTTTTCCAAAACAAAGGTAGAAATGCACAAAGCTGTTTTGGCTCAGGTTTAGGAAATGAGGGCCCTAAAATGCACAGGCTTAGCAAACAGCTAGCTCGCTGCCAATGTTTGGAGTTGGGAGAGTGAGTTAATTCAGTTCTTAATCTCAACACACAGAAACCCAGTCCAACATTCCTTAAACCTAACCACGGGGCTTATTGACGTGAACCACCACACCCAGAGAGGATACAAGGATACATATGCCAATCAGCTTCACCAGCCACCAAATGTCTAACTTCTAATAGGCAAATTATAGATGTGGTAGTTTTAGGGAAACTGCTGTATCCAAACTGCAGGCTTAGCACAGTTCTGGTCCATTACAGGTGCTTAATAAATGCTTGTTGACTTGACAGGGTTGGTCTGAGTGGCCACAGCACTTAGGTGTAGCATTGTTTTATAGTCAAAAGGGCAAGAAAGACTAGACTAGAGCCTTTATTTAGATGTTCCATCCCAGAGCAAGATTTAAGTGAGGGCTGTGCAAAGTCTCCAGCCTCACTTTCTCCTCCAGAGTCATCTGGGTCCAGTGGCAAGATATAGATCAGGATGACTAGAGATGGCCCTGGATGCCATGGGAGACCTTGGCCTTTTTAAGCTAAGGTCTTTCACAGGTTTCAGTTTGACTGAAGCAACACCCATTCAGTGACTAAGGCTAGGTAAGAAATGAGGCAGAGAATGACCTCTTTTACCTAGTTAAAAAAAAAATCAGTCTGGGAAGGGAATACCCTCAGGATTTCTGGTCCTAAGTAGCAATTATTTCCTAGAGCTAGAAGATCCTAAGCACCTTTCAAATACCAAATCATGAGTAATCCAGATAAGGATGCACAGAGAGATTGGTAGAATTGCTTTGGCACCAGAGGTTATATTCCTGGATTCTAGTTGTTTCTGTTTACCTGTCCCCTCTCTGACCAGCCTTCATTAGAGTTGCTATCAACTATTCACTAGAACTTGGGTGCTCACGTACCTGCCCTTTACCATATGTCAGCTGGGAGCCAATTTGCTGGGACCCAAGAGAATCAGATGGGCAACCACCCAAATGTCTCCCTATGTGTCCAGGTCTCCCTAGCTGCTTCCTCACCTCCTCCAAACTGTAACTGGGATAGGATGTGTGTATGTAAGGACACTTTGTGAATGTGTTTACATAATAATTTTAGACAAATACTCCGATAGCATTTCCTTCATTGAGGCAGCTTGGTGGTATAGTGGATAGGTTGTGTGAATGGGACTAGAAATTGGGAAGACTTGAGTTTGAATTCTGCCTCAGATGCTTACTAGCTGTGTGACCCTGGGCAAGCCATGTCAGCCTCATCTATAAAATGGGGATAAGAATGACACCTACTTCATAGAGTTGTTGAGAGGATCAAATGAGGTAACTTATGTAAAGCTCTTTGCAAACCTTAGAGCACTGTTATCACCATCATCATCATCATCATCATCATCATTATCATTATCATTCCACGCCCATTTTGTCAAGCATTCCTTACGTCTACATTTATTAAGCACTTTCTATATGCAAAGATTTGTTTTGAGCTCATATAAATAAGGCATGGTCCCTGCCCTCATAGAGGTTATACTCTAAGAGTAAGAATAAAACACATTCACAAAAAACCGTGATACAAAATCAAAGTTGTGGTAAATACATATAAACGAAATAAATGCTTTGTACTTAGTAGGCACCTAATAAATGCTTTTTTTAATTGGGCTGGGCCTTAGAAAACAGGCATATGGAGCTAACTGGTGCTGGACCTGAAGTCAGGAAGATCTTAGTTCAGGTCTGGCCTCAGATAATTACTAGCTATGTAACCCTGGACAAGTCATTCAACTTCTGTTTGCCTCGGTTTCCTCATCTGCAAAATGAGGATAATAATAGCACCTACCTCCCAGGGTTGTTGTAAGGATAAGTTGTAAGGATATTAATGCTAACTGTCATTGTTATTGCTATTATTGTTATTATTATTATTAGTAGTAGTAGTAGTAGTAGCAGTAGTAGCAGTATTGTAATATGCAGTCTGTGGCCAGGGCCATCCTGGAAGCTTTTCCAACTTGGTAGGACCACTGATTTATGATCTGTTAGCAAAGCCTGCAAGATGTGTGATGAGAACATTACTAGGCAGACGAGCGGTACGGCAGGCAGGAAAATGATTGATGATGCTACTCCATAGTGGAGTAAGGGCATTTAAGAGTCTAGAACTCTGAGCTCCAGAAGTGTCTCCAATCAATCAATCAAGAAGCATTTATCAGACACTTATTACTGTGCTAAGTGCTGGGATATAAAGAAAAAGCAAAAAACAGTCCCTGCCCTCAAGGAGCTTACATTCTAACTGGGGGATGCAACATTCATACAAGATAATACCGAGTAAATGGAAGGTAACTTTAGAGGGGGGAGGCTCCAGCAGCCGGAGAGACCAGGAACGTCTTCCTGCAGCAGACTTTTGAGCTGAACCTTGAAGGAAGGCAGAGATTCGCAGAGGTGGAGGTGAGGCCACAGAAGGGGACAAAGACATCATTTCAGAGTGTCCTTGTACTCACGCCAGGCTTCACAAGGGGCTGAGCCGGGAACATTCAGGGTCTTTAGGCAATTCCTAGCACTCTCCGCTATCCCTTTCCTGAATTTGATCGTAAGTGATTGACAATGTTCTTCTATGTCTCTCCTCACTGCTGCAGAGGATGGAGTCCCTCGTACCACCAGGTCCATGTCTCTCAGTCTGGGAAAGGTAGGCTGCCTGCAAAGAGCCAGGGGAGGGAGTGGGGCGGGAAATAGGGCTGCTCAGAAGAGAATTGGGAGTTACCTGGTAGGGGCTCCATCATAGCCTAAGTCCACAGTCTTTCAGGAGGGAAAACCATCCATAAATACAAGTTCACTAGCCACTCACATCTTGGGTGACCTTGAACCTTTAATCTTTCTCTGACACTGTTTCCTCATCTACAAATAGGAAGCCCTGAAACTTCCCTACAGAAGGACAGCTAAGTGGTACAGTGAATAGAGTGCTGGGCCTAGAGTCAGAAAGATCTGAGTTCAAATCTAGCCTCAGACACTTACTAGCTATGTGACCCTGGACAGGTTCCTTAACTTCTATATGCCTCAGTTTCCTCAACTGTAAAATGGGGATAATAACAGCACCTACCTCCCAGGGGTGTTGTAAAGATCAAATAATATTTGTAAAGCACTTAGCACAGTGTTGGCATATAATAGGTACTTAATAAATACTTGTTTTCTTCCTGCATGCTTCACAGGGTATGTGTGAGGACTCAACGTATCCAAAAGCCCCTTTTTGAAATTAAGGATCCCTTGGGTGGTATCGCAGAGATCTTAGAGGCCATTGACTCCAGCCCTCTCATTTTACAGATGAGAAAATTCCTGCAGCTAGTACGAGTCTAACTAAGTGGGATTTGAATCCAGGTCAGAGATTTCAGTTCAAAATTAGGGAAAACTTCTTAATACTTAGAGCCCTCAGATGGAATGGGCGGCCTTTTAAAGGGGATGATCCCCAGTCAGGGGTGCTACAGAGGAAAGTCTTGCTTCAAGCAGGAGGGCAGACCTCAGAGGGCCCTTCCAACTTTTAAGAATTCGTACTTCTAATCAAAAAGGCCCCCAAACCCTTTTTCTCATAGACTCCTAGGACGGTAGAGCAGGGCAGAACTTTTAACCACCATCTAGTTCAATCCACACCCAACACCTTTTTATAGCTAGAGAAACTGAGACTGAGAGTGATTCTGTGTGCTGAAGACTAACTGCATCTGTTCTCTTACATGAGAAATCTCTATTCCACCCTCTTGGTTTTTGTCAATTTCCTAAAGTTGTGATTTTCCCAGAAGACTCTGGTCCAAGAATGAGTGCCCCAGGACACACAGCTATAGAGCTTCTCTGTCAATGTGGAACAATCTTCGATTCCCCTGATGTACACACACCATCCTCCCCTCTCCCTGTTTTCATCATTTTTGACAGCTACCATTGTCCCACTGAGGATGACTGGGCTCAAGGCCTTCCTGTTAATAAACGCATTTCTTCCTGCAGAACATGCCCCGTCGGAGGGTCAGTGTGGCCGTGGTCCCCAAGTTTAATGCTCTGAACATTCCTGGCCAGTCTCCCAACACATCACCCATCCCATCCTTACCAGCCCTGGTGAGTATGAGCAGGGGGATAATGGTGGCCCAGAAGGAGGCCCTGGGACCACTGGAAGGAAGACCTCCAGGGGCCGAAGAGAAGCCACAGGAAACAGAGTGTGCTCAGCGTGGGCTCATAACTCATTCGTTCATTCAGCAGACAATCACAGAGCAACTTCTGTCGTTGACTTAAGTAAAGACATTGAGGCCTTGAATTTTGGCTTGAATTTTACTTTTTACAACACAATTTATAGTTCATTCCGCATAATTCAGAGGCAAACATGAAATAAAGGATAGAGAGCTGGCCTTGAGTTCGAATCCTGCCCTGATACATTCTGGCCACATAACCCTGGACAAGATGCTTAACTTCACTATGCTCTAGGCAATCCTCCAAGGCTCTAAGTTGCACTGAAGGCGCTAGCCTGCATTGGCAGAGCAAGCTTCCATATCTGCGAGTTTCCTTCATCAGTGACATCACAGATCTAGTCCCTCTCTCTGTGGACAATATAGGCATATTCCTAGCCAATATTATTTCTCAAAGAAGGAACAGAAGAATTCATGTAGCTTCAGACCCTTTAGGGGAAAAAAGACCAAATCTCATTACAAAGAAGATTTCTCTATAACAAACTATTTCTACATCCCACCTCTGTGTATATGTCTTTCTCTCTCTCTCTTTCTCTGAGTCTCTTTCTCTGTCTCTCTTTTTCTCTCTCTGTGCCTTTCTCCGTCTCTGTGTGTCTGTCTCTATCCGTCTATCTCTCTCTCTCTTTCTCACTCTCTCTGTATCGCTCTCTTTTTCTCTCTCTGTGTCTCTGTGCCTCTGTGTATGTGTCTCTGTCTCTATCTCTTACTCTCTCTGTTTCTCTCTCTGTGTGTGTCTCTGTGTCTGTCTGTCTGTCTCCTCTTTTTGTCTCTACTCTCTCTCTGTCTCTATCTTTCTGGGAGGAAAGAGCACACCTGCTGTTTGTATTATAATCAAGGAGAAAAGGGCTATAGCTGAGTTCTGTTCACAGCTCTAGTGTTCTGCCAAACAGAAGAAGGGATCTTTTGACTCCTCTCCCCCTCCTTTGCCCTGATTCAAACCTGTTGTGACACCATTAGTCTTAGTTACCCCAAATTCCCAAGCCACAGACAAAATAAAGCCACCTACACGAAGTCTGGAGTTTGGAGGCAAAAAGGGGACCATAGGCGCAGGACACTCTGACCACTCCCTCTTTTAAAACCCTATTGTTTTTAAAGCCCCCCTTTTTTCACTTCTAGCTCTTTCATCTCTAGCCTGGAAATGTGGGTTTCCCAGCACCATACTTAGTAACCGAGTTCCATTACAACAAAACAGCTTGGACATCCTCAGAGTTCACTCTAAGTAGGATTTGACTTACTAAAGCTTTGAGTAATATTTGATAGTAACAACAGCACACTGGTGTGCTTCTGCCTAACAATGCACAAAGCATGACATGGTCTGGGGTTAGGGCTGCCCTCTAAAAACAAGGGATAGGCAACTGGATTCCGTTGAAAAGACCTCAAACTTTCAAGCTCTCAGAGCTAAATGGATAGAGAGGAGGCAGTAAAAGAAGCACGTCAACCTCACTGTGCTTCCACCCCCCCCCCCCAGAAAAAAAATCACGCACACAACACCCTCACACTGAGAAGGACAGAGAAGAGCCCAAGGGAATCCAGAATAATGGCTCAGGAACCTAGGTGACCCTTGGGAGTGCAGGACATCCCAGAAACTCACTTGTCTAAATACGCACCTAGAATATACTGGCCCACCTGCATGTTTCGCTCTGATTTATTTAAGGAATTGAAAGATTTATCTTATTTTCTCTACAGGCAGAATCACCAAATGGGAAAGGAAACTCTTCAGCTTCCCTGGCTCCACCAGCACTATTAGAGAAGTAAGTTTTCTGGTTTGACTTTTCACCCTGAGGTTGTCTAGGAAACCTGCTTTGGTCTGTTGGATATTGATCTTTCTTTCTATACTGTCTCTCTCTCTCTCTCCTCCCTCACCTCTTCCATCTTTCCCTAACCTCTCCTCTCCCATCTCACCTCTTCAACCCGTTTTCCTCCCTCCCCCCATTCCAACACATATCATCCTTCTCCTTTATCCCTTCCTCTCTATACTTTCCATCCCCTCCATCTCCTTTTATTTCTTCTTTCCTTCTCTTCTTCTCCTTCCCTCCCTGTCCTCTACTTCTCTCTTTTTTCCCCTCTCTCTCCATCTTTCCCCTTTCTCTCTCTTCCTCCCACATCTGCTCCCTTTTCTCTTTCCCTTTTCTCTCTCTTCCTTCTTCCTCCTCTTCATCTCTTCTCTTTCCTGGCTCCACTCTCCCCTTACTTTTTTCTCTCCTCTTCTCCCCTTTCCCTTTCCTCTCTCCTCTTCTTTTACCTCCTTCTCCATTCCCCTCATATTCTCTCTTCCTTTCCCCCTCTCCTCCATCCCTGTGCCTTTCTCCTTTTGTCCTGTCTCTCTCCTTATTTTTCCTTCTCTTCCTCCTTTCCCCAACTCCTACCCTCAAGGCCATTTCCATCACCAGGAAAAAAAATGTGATTTGAATTTAACTGAACTTTTATGGGAAATGGTTTATTTGTCCCTCTAGGGTCCAGGAGGCTGTGGTTTGATCCATGCTGCTGCAGTTTATAAAATTATGAAGAAAATATGTTGAATCAAAATGTGCCAATTTGAGAAAGTCCTGGCTTCGCTTGGGAAAGTTTCCTATTTCAGGCTTCTGTGCCCCATGCATTTCTTTCCATTTTAAGCCAGAAAAGCTAGACTACAGGACCCATTCCTGTGATGCAGAGATCTGCACAACACAAATAGATCATTTGTTTTGCAGAACCTTTCCCCACCTGACTGAGGATCCGGCCCTTGTAAAGGTTTCTCTTCCCCTATTATCTGGAAATGTTGCCTCCCATACAACTGAGGAAAATAGCGGTTTTTTTTTTTTTTAAGTCATTTACTCTTTCTTTAAAGAGTCGTCAATTTAATTTTTCTTAGTAGAGCATAGCAACATAGATCTAGAACTGGAAGGGGCCTGAAAAGCTCCTCTAATCCAAGCCCCTCATTTTATACAGAGAGAAACTGAGGACTAGAGAGACGGACTGAACTTGCCCCAAGTTATGCAGATTCTAAGTGGTAGAGCCAATCAGAGAGAACCCAAGCCAGAGAGAAAGACAGAGACAGAGAAGGGGAAGGAGTGCTTCACAGCGACCTCTGAAGTCCCTTCTGGCTCTGAAATGCTACCATTCTGTAATTCTCAATGAAGCATGGGAGCAGATGGGAGGAATGCCATGTGTAGTCCCTAAAGGTACATGATAGCAAAGTCTTGTAAAAGCCTTGTAAGACTCTTTTCCCATTACTTGCTAGACTGGCCTTGGATAGACTCATATTTACCTTACTAACACATTTCCTGAGCACACACAGATGGGGAGACGAAGGGCAATAGTCAGGTGTCTGAAAGCACTGGGATGGGACTTGGATATTGCCATGGAGAATGGACAAAGTCGAGAGTCGAAGGGCTGGGTGCACTGATTATCTTAGAGAAGAGATCCAGAATTCTCCCGCTCTGGCTGGATCCTAGATCATTAGCCATCACAGCCCTAATAAACCCTTTCCTTCTCATCTGAAAAAGATGTGTAGGTTTTAGTGAATTATAAGCCCAACATGTGTTATGAGTGTGTTGAGGTGGCCAAAAAAGCAAATGTGGTCTTAGAATGCATTAAGAAAGGCATATGATATCCAGAAATAGGGAGGGGAATTGTCCCTCTGTATTCTGCCCTGGTCAGACCACACCTGAAGTGCTTTGTTCACATTTAAAAACTACATTTTAGAAAGAACCACCAAAGGCTGGATGACTGGTTGTCTTGTTGGGCGTGTTCTAGATGGTACAGGTTGGATTATATGGTCTCTGAGGTCCCTTCCAGCTTTGAGCTTCTGTGATTTTAAAATAGAATTTGACTAAACAGAATGAAGGGGAGGAAACTCAGGATACCCAGAGAAGGGAAGGGACTTGCCCAAGGTCACATAGTAAGTTAATGACAGAGCAAACAAGAGGAGGTATCTGTATTCTCAGTCAAGCCATGGAAACTTCCATTGTACCCCATTGCCTCCAGTAAATACGAGGAGTTCAGTTTTACCGGGTCAGATCAGAATTGCATTTTATTTAGCTAAAGCTATTTGCAACACTTGGCAAAGCAAAGACTAGATGTATAACAATCTTTAAGATTGTTCAAAACCAAAACAAAATCACTGATCTGCTCAAAAATTCCTACAGGAGTCTCCTTATTACCTTAATAGGGTCTCCCTGTTAGCTCTAGGACAAAATACAAACTGTCCTTAACAATATGGCTCCAACCTACTTTCCCAGACTTATTTTCTACTACTGGAAGGAGTAAAAGACAAGGTAACCATTTCAGAGCTCCACAGAGTCATCAGACCAAGGTATTATTTTGTCATTTTTATGATGGCACCTAAAATTTCATCAACTTTGATTTTTAAAGCAGTCCATACAGAAAGACTTCCAAAGTTACCCATATGTTTACATTGAACAGGAGATTGTAGATTGGGTTTTTAACCTTTTCCCATTGTTGTTGGAGAATGAATAGTTAAAATTAACCCATACCCTCAAGACAGTTCTTGACACAACTGGAAACTCACAGCATGGGTGAAAAAAAACTACTATGAAAGTTCCCTTAGCTCAGGGCCCCCATGAACACAGTTCTCTAATCAATATAGCTCAATCCAATCCAATTCCATCCCACAAGTGTTTTAAGCAATTATTCTTTGAAATGCACAAAGATACAAAGATAAAGTGACGTCACTGAGTTTACATACCATCAGGGGAATCAACATGTAAACAGATGACAATTTGAGGAGGAGGGAACAAGGATAAGATATCCATGGTATAGTGCAAAGAAAACAGGCTCCAGGGTCAGAGAATTGGGTTCAAATCCTGTCTCTGATGCCTACCATTTGTTTTACCTTGGGGAAATCACTTGGCCTCTTAGAATAGACATTCTAAGGTTAATAGCCTGCTGACATTCATTGAGAAGGGACTCGATGGAGGATGTGAGATAACATTAAAACTTTTATTTCAAGCATTGAGTTCTTTCCCAGCTGGCCCTCATAGGCTATTATTAGAAGCTTCATATTACTGTTATCTCCCTAAGGGCCACATGAAATCTTAGGCACACACTGTGATGCAAGGAGCATTCTATTGGGAGTTAGGAACCCCAACTCTACCATTCATTGACCAGCTGTGTGATGGAGCCAGAGACTCAAACTCAGGTCTTTGAATGCCAAGCTTAGCATTCTGCCACCATGCTGCCTGCCTTAGGAAAATCCTGTATGAGTAGGCATCAAAGGGTAATTCATCTCTTGGGAAGTGTTGAAGAGCCATAGAACTGACAGGCTGTATAGTGTATAAAACACTACCCTTGGAGTCAGGAAGACTTGGTTTTGAATCCTGCCTGGCTCACGTATAAGCTTTGTGATCTTGGGCAAGTCATTTCACCTCTGTCAGCCTCAGTTTCCTCATCTATAAAGTGGGAACAATAATAGTACCCACCTCACAGGGTAATGATTGATTACATATATAGATAATTATATATTATATGTTACATAGTTCTGTAATGTATTTATTATTAATAATACTTATATATTAATGTTTATTATTATATAATATATAGAGATATAGACACATACAGATAATGTGTCACGGTTCATGTAAACTTTAAAGTACTATGTAAATATTAGCTATTATTATTATTATGAAACAAATCCTATGAAATAGGGTTTTTAAGAGTATCAAGCATCAAAAGGGGATGCTTGGGGGTGGGGAGTAAGTGCTCACTGATTTCTCTAGGCAGTCAGTGTCTTGAGTTTTAGAAGTGGGCCAGTGAAGGAGGAATGAACCTTGGAAAAGAAATCTAGCAGTCCTTCACTCACCCCAGATCACTGCATGCAATGTGTGGTTTCTTGGGGAAATGATACAAATCAGATTTCTGTAAACTGAATTGTGTCATACATAAACTCATTGTCTGGCTCCCTTCTAGCCCTTCTTAGTGGCAAATCCTTATCTAATTCAAATAGTGACCCCCGTCAGTTACCTGTTTCCTAATCCTGCATTGTTGTCTGTCCGGTTTTCTTAAAATGGGGCACCACAGATTCTGTTACTGTCAGGCTCCATTTTAGACTCACCACCCTTCCTTTTAAAATTAAGTAACCTCTGAGATGGACAGAGATAAAAAATAGCAAAGGTATGGCTCTGACTTCTAATTTCTAATAAGTGTGCTTTATAAAACCATTACCTACGCTGTTATTCTCAGCCATCAAATTTTTCTGTTGTGATAAATGTTCCTTTAGGACAGGGAAGATTCACTGTAGGGAAAGAGAGTAAGCACATAACATAATGGAGGAAATGTTGTGAGCACCTGGCATTTTCAGTGTGTTTTCTCTCTTTCTTTCTTATTCTGGTGCCCAGGTACCAGCCTAATGAAATGTAAATTTTAGGAGGTGATGAGCAGCACAGGAGATGGGAAGTTGATGCCAAGGACAGGCAGAAGTGTTTAAGATTCTCTCATTAATGCAGCAGGGGATGCTTGCAAGGACCAGCTGCCATGTGGTGTTTTTCAAACAAAAGCCTGGCTTCAAAGCCCTACTTGTATTTTTGTCTGTTTTGTGAGTTCCCTAAAGTGGTGTATTCTGATGGGGTTTCACCATCCAGGAGGGTTGCAGGGACCTGTTAAAGGTGACATAGAGGCCCGAGTTCCAGAATTCCCCAAAGTTATTTGCTGAGAATGGCAGCAGACAATGGAGCCTGTCGATGGGGGTAAACTCATCTGTCCAACAACTGAGCCATCTGTGCCATCCCTTCCTCTCTTTGGCTATTAATTTCCACCTTGATTCTCTTGAATATACCATAGGATGTAGCCTTAGAGACCTTCTAAACCAACCCAATTCAGTGAATGGTCATTGAGCACCTGCTGCAGTGAATAGACTACCAGGTCTGGAGTCAGGAAGACCTGAGTTCAAATCCAGCCTCAGACACTTACTGTGTGATCCTGGACAAGTCACTTAACCCCTGCTTGCTTCAATATCCTCATCTGAAAAATGGAGATAATAATAGCACCTTCCTCGCAGGATTGTTTTAGGATCAAGTGAGATAATAATTAAAAAGCGCTTAGCACAGTGCCTGACACGTTGTAGGCACTATGTACACGTTAGCTGTTCTTATTGTATTAAATGTGTTTATTTATTTTGCCTAGCTATACTTCTTCGTTACAAAAGAGGGCTCTATGTGGGGGCCAGTAGAGGATGGAGAAGCGAAAATGGGGTGTGTGTGTGTGTGTGTGTGTTTTAAAGGAAAAAATATCAATAACACTTTTTTTTAAAAGAGAAATACGGAAAGGTAATGAATTTGGCACCCGATTATGGAGAAAGCTGAATGCCAAGCAAAGGCATGGACATTATTTGGCAAGCAGTGGGGAGCCGCCGAGGAATTTAAGCAACAATGGCATGAGTCCCACCTTCTTGTTTCTCAGACTTCAGTCCACACCTCCATTTATATTGGCTGTGTTTTCACAAAGGCACAAACATAACTGAGCCCTGGTTTTGGTTGCCTCTCTGAGTGAGTGGTTTGTCACACAAACACGTTTACCTCACAGTTGGTGTTGATCATGAGGTTGACTGGAAGGGCGGCTTGGCCACGGTGCAGCCCGACTCGCCAATGTGCCGATCTACACCCGGCCCAGGAGCAATGGTAGGGATTCTGTGAGAGCAGTGACGTGGAGAGGAGGGACCCAGGAATCAATTGACAGTAACCACCTTCTGAATTCGTAAAAGTGATTGACATCCGAGTACTTATATCTAAACGATCCAATCCAATCTAATCCAAGAAACAATTATTAAGCACCTACTATATGCCAGGTACTGTACTAAGTGCTGGGGATACAATTTAAAAAAAAAAAAAAGAGACAGCCCCTTCCCTCAAATAGCTTACAATCTAATGAGAGGAGACAGCATACAAAAGGCAGCGGAAGAGCAGGCAGGGAGGGATGGGCACTGGAGGGTACCAGCATGGGTGCATCTTGTTCCCCGAAGCTGAGACCAGGTAGAGCAGCAGATACAAAGGGAAGTAAACACAGAAAATATGTAGTGACGCTTTAGAGTCCATCGACCAATCAATCCATTAAGCACTTACTATGTGCCAGGCAATATGCTCAAGATAGGGCTAAAAAGAAAACTCAAAAACAGTCCCTGCCCTCAGGGAGCTTACATTCTAATGATGGCAGATGCTGCCGGCTTCCTAAGCCTTAAAATCTGCTCTGAGGCTATCGGAGCTAGAGAGGGAGCTTCTAACATGGTAATTGGTCATGGAAGCATCTCTAAGAGTAAATCTTGACTTTTAGGTATGGTAGAGTCCAATGTGCTTGGGGGGCAGAGCTTATTGTAGGAGTCCTCAGGATTTTCTCAGAGAATAAAAATGTTCTTCGACAATTGGCCTCAGGGAGTAGGGTTGGAAAATACTTAAAAGAGGATCTCTAAGGCAGATTCTCTCTAGAGCCCCAAATTAAACCTGTTTCTCTGCTCCAGTGTGGCTTGGGATATCCAAGGTGTCCCTCCTTGGTCTAAACTGAAACACCTACACAAGGTCCAGACTGAATCAATCAGTAATCAAATTAACAACCATTTATTCAGCACCTGTGCTAGGCTCAACACTGGGAACATAAATACAAAGAATGAAACCATTCCAATTCTCAAGGGAGCTTCCATTCTAAAAAAAATCTCCATCAGCAGAGATCAGCACAAAGACTTGTGATCACTTTTGCATTGCATTCCCCGCACTCAGCACCCCTTCTCGTCCCTCATTTTCTCACCAGTGAGAAGTCCAATGGGGACCCAGACTGTGAGGGCCCTGCACCCAGCGTTTCACCTGCCCTGACCCAGAGTGCTTTGGAGGAGATCAGCCAAGAGGTCAAGGCCAAGATCGAGGAGGAGGCCTATAACAAAGGGTAAGTTTTCAAGCGTCCAAATGGGCATCCCTTAGCGTGCTTCTCATAGGGAGGAAAATCCGGTAAGGCAAGAAACAACTGCAAAAGCTTACAAGTTGATTCCAATTCAATTCAATCCCGTAAGCTTTTACTGGGGGCCTGCTACGAGCCAGGCACTGTGCTAGGTGCTGGGAGTATAAAGACTAGAAGGAAATAGTTCTTGCCTTCAAGGGGCTTCCACTCTTCTGAAGTCATTGCAATGGTGGTTTAAGAAGGAAGGAAGGGAATGGTCATAAGAGCGGTCACTGAAGTCCCCGGAGACCCAATAACAAACATACCATTAGTACTTACTTGCATATACTGACCCTCTTAGGTAGTCTGGTAAAGCCTATAGACCTCAGAATAGTGTTTTTAACTGTATAAAATAAAATACATAGGGTTACAGAGGAAATCAATTATATTGAAATACAGTTATCAATTTTAAAAAATAAATTTATAGACCCAAATTAGGAACCCCTGAAAGTGTATGAAGTTTAAAAAAATTTATACAACCCAAATTAAGAACCCTTGATCTAAAGTATATGAAGTAAGGTTAGAAATAGAGCTAGACAGCTCTTTTTGTGATGGCTACAAATTGAAAATTGAGAGGATGCTCATCAGTTGGGGGATAGCTAAACAAGCTGTGGTATATGATTGTAATGGAATATTACTGTGCTATGAGAAATAACAAGCAGGACGATTTCAGAAAAACCTGGAAAAACTTACATGAACTGATGCAAATTGAGCAGAACCAGGAGAACGTTGTACACAGCAACAGGAATATTGTTCGATGAAGAACTGTGAATGACTTAGCTATTATCAGCAACACAATGATCCAATGAAGCATGCTATCCACCTCCAGAGAAAGAACTGATACTGTCTGAATAGTGACTAAAGCATGATACCTTTCACTTTCTTTCTTTCCTTTTTTTTCTTTTATTCAAGTCTTCTTGTACAAAGTGACTAATATGGAAATGTTTTATATGATTGCACATGTATAACCTTTATCTGATTACTTACTGTCTCAGGAGGAGGGGATGGAGGGATAGAATTTGGAACTCAAAACTTTAAAAACAATGTTAAAAAGTGCTTTAACATGTAACTGGGAAAAATAAAATATTATATATTAAGAATTAAAAAAAAAAGAAATAGAGCTAAGTTAGCATTGAGGATCTTGAGTACTAGTATAAAGAGAAAGTAAACTTGAAAACAGGTTACCAAATTACTTGAGAGGCGCTTCAATGGGGGTGGAATCACTTGGACTCAGGAGTCTTGGATTCAAGTTCTGACTTTAAAAGATATTGGCTGTGTGACCCTGGGTAAGTCTCTAAACTTCTCTGAAACTCCTCTCTAAAATGGGGATAATAATACCTGTACTTCTTGCCTCACAGGGGTAACATCAGTCAGTCAACAAGCATTTATTAAGCTAGTAAGCATATACAGCTAAGTGGTGTGGTGGTAGTGCTAGGCTTAGAGTTAGGAAGATCTGAGTTCAAATTTAGCCTCAAATGCTTACTAGCTATGTGACTCTTCACAAGTCACCTAACCTCTGTTTGCCTTCATTTCCTCATCTATAAAATGGGGATAATAATAGCACTTACCTCCCAGGGTTTTTGTGAGGATCAAATGAGATAATATTTGTAAAATGCTTAGCACAGTGCCTGGTACAGAGTAGGTGCTCTATAAACACTATTTTTTGGTTGTTATTATTAAGCGCATAGTATGCCAGGCACTGGGGTATGAGGAGAGCTCCTTTGTCAATCTTAAGATATTATAGCAATGTATGTTATCATTATAATTATTCTTCTCTAACCTTTAAAAAAAACAGCTACTAAATAATTTACTTTACATTATTTAAATCTGCTTAACATCTCCTAGAATTGCTGTGTACATAGATTAATGCTGTTTGACATTGATTCAATATTACCAGGATCTTTCCCTGGAAAGTGTTCCTGGCCCTCTTCCCTTCTCTCATCCTGCATATGAAGTTCTACCAAGCCAAGCTCTCCTTAGACAGAAGGCAAAGCCAGGACCAACATGGGGTGGGGCAGGAGCCTAGGGGTCTAAATCCAGGAAATGGCTAACAAGAAGAGAATGTTTTGTTGAGTTTTTTGGGGGGGGTTGGGGGAGGGAGCTATGATGAACATTTTATGTGACATTTCCTACAAACAGGAAGGATGAGGGGAAATACTGTTGACAGGAGACAGAGTATTAGGAATGGATCGTGGCTCGATTGTGAGTTCCAGCGTCTTCCTCTCATCCACAACCACAGGAAGCCTCCGATGCTGACAGTCCCCGAACTCTAGGAATTGAATGGAAAGGTTGTCCCTGGCCTGTCCTTACCAGCCTCAAAACAAAACAAAACACCACTTTTCCTTCTCTAAAGGTATCAAGAAGGCCTAAAGAAAACCAAAGAGCTTCAGGAACTGAAGGAAGATGAAGAAGAGAAGACAAATGAAAACCTTGATGGGCCAGAAAGGGAGGATGAGGAAAAGGAGCTAAAAAGCAGGTGAGATGCTTCTCGCCACCACTAGAGCACTTCCCAAAGCTAAAAGAAGAACCCGGCACTGGGCGGCTGAAGGCCGAAGAACCAGGCAGGGAACAGGTCAAACACAGGATGGAAATAGATATCTTATGCAAATAGGACAGAGGTAGAAAGACAGATGGAGGGAGACAGAGATAGAGAGAGCAAGAAGGAGGAAGGGAAAGAGAGAGGAAGAGAAAAGGAGGAAATGAGAGAGAGAGAGAGAGAGAGAGAGATCCAACAGGGATCCAAAGTCCATGAAAAGAGTCAACAACCCTGAGAGACACAGAAGCTGAGGGAAAGAGAATTGGGTGGGGAGGCCCAAAATCAGGTACATAGGCAAGAATGGAAAATTGAAACACATTTTCAGATTTGGTCAATGTCTCGATTTGTTTTTGCTTGACTATAGTTATTTTTTTAAATGGAGGACTTTAAAAATTTGGGGAGGGGAGCCACTTTGGGAGGGAGAGGAGGATAGCAATAGGGGAAAGAAAAAAAGAAAGAATGAGAAGGAGGAGAGAAAGAAAGAAAGAGAAGGAGGAGAGAAAGAGAGAATGAGGAGAGAAAGAGGAGGAGAGAAAGAAAGAGAGAGAAACAAAGAAAGAGAGAAAGAAAGAGAGAAAAAAGAAAGAAAGAGAGAGAAAAAAAGAAAGAGAAAGAAAGAGAAAAAGAAAGAGAAGGAAGAAAGAAAGAAAGAGGAGGAAAGAAGGGAGGGAAGGAAAGGAGGGAGGGAGGGAAGAGAAGGAGGGAAGAAAGGAAGAGAAAGGAAGGAAGGAAGAGAAGGAGGGAGGGAAGGTCATGATAGCATATTTTAAATACACAGACGAGAACAGAGGAGGATTGGAAGGAGACACAGACAAATAGGATAGTTTTGAAATTAACATGTTGAATTGATTACATTCTTTTTGTTATGGAAGCTCTAAGTAACATTTGTGGTTTCACATACAGTGTTCTTTATGGAGTATGGCATAGTGGATAGAGAGTAAGCCTCAAAACCAGGAAGACTTGAGTTCGAATCCCACCCTTCATCCATACAGGCTGGGTAACATTGGGCAAATCACTTCACCTCTTGGTGTTCTAGGCAACTCTGAGTTATAGAGCAGGCAGCCATCTTCATTGGTAAAGAAAGTTTTCTCCCCTGAGAGTTCCCTGTGCTAATGAAATAACAGGTCCAGCCCCTTCCCTAAGTATACAGAAATGCTCATGTTTGATGATGTTTTTTCAAGTATAGAACAACAAAATTAAAGATAAAATGTTTTATTTTTTGAATGGAAGAAAGCCTCTGGCCTTCAGCCCCATTTTGCTCCTCTCGCTGAGGCCAGTCTGGTGGCCAGGAGGCTGAGCAGCAGGCAGCAGGTGCCCAGAACAAATGGCTCACTCGGTGCAAAGGAAAAGCAGAAATGACCTGGTGACGTTGAAATGTGGTTTTCTGTGTTTATAGAGAAAAGAGGAAGTTGCAGGATGAAGAAAGGTGGGGTTGAGACTACCCAGCCCCAGACAGGTGTCCAGGATCATTCGAGACTCCTGAAAACTGCTTTCCTCAGGACCAGACATTACATCGATCCTTTGTTTGGGTCACTTATGCCATTGTCCATCAGACTCACAGCTACACACCAAAATTCTCTGGGACTTCCTCATTGCTTGTGCCCTGTGAATTTTTGCATTTTATCTGATTATTTGGCATTAATCATTAGAAACCAGAAGCATTCTGAGTTTAGTCATAGCCCTTGCCGTGTACAAATGGACTGCCAAGCGGCAGAGCCCAGAGAGAGGTCAGCCACTTTGTCTGGTAGATCAATGAGGGAAGGGTGGATTAGGACAGAGCTTCACTGAGGACAGAGCTGGAAGCTTTTAGAATCCCCACCGTACTGCTCACAAAGCCAGAGGACTAGAGTGTCACAGATTTACAGCTGGGGGGACCTCAGCAGGCAGCAGCACCAACGCCTTCACTTTATAGGTGAGGGTCAGAAAGTGCCCGGGTACCAAGCAGGAGCTTCCAGGAGCTCGTCGGCACACATCTTTTCTGTTTCCTGGGACTGAAGGAAACAAACCTAGCTTTCTCCAGAAGACCCAGAAACCATCCTCTCTGTTGAGGGCTTTGATTTCTCACATGCCCTACAAACACACCTGGGATGGTTCGGTTCAGAAAACGTGCTTGCTGCCTTCTCTAGTCACATCCCAGGAGCATCAGCCCCCAGCCGAAATTGAAGTCCTAAGGAAATCCGGCATCCATCCTCTTGAACCAAGGGAGATGGAGCATGGTACAGTGGGAAGAATGCTGGGCTTGGGGCCGGGGGAGCTGGCTTCCAATCCCTCCTCTACAGCTTAGAACCTGCATGAACTTGGGCAAGTCACGGGGCCTCAGTTTCCTCATCTGCAAAATGAGATGGTTAGATTATAGGATTTCTAAGGTCCTTTCCAGCTCTAAACCTATGACCCCATGAAAACTGTTTCCAGTAGAAAGCCTGTCCCATACTTCCCTGAGAAAAAGCACAGTAAAGATAGAATAACAATAATCAATACATTAATAATAATTATTATTATAAAACTGGCCAAGGAGCAAGGAAGATCCAAAAGACCTCCTTCTGATACTTACTAGCTGTGTGGCCATGGGCAAGTCCCTTCATCTCTCTGAGTCTCAATTTCCTCTTCTATAAAATGGGTATAATTGCCTTATTTGTTATATTGTTATTATGTTTCATGATTGTGGGATTCCTGGAGTGTCCCCAACTCTGCCTCTTTACGAAAACAAAAACCAAAACCCAGCATTTTATAGGAACTGAATAATGGGACAGGAATTGGAACTGAGATTTCATTGGTGTGAGAACCCCAAATGAGGAAATTGCTTTTACCAATGTAGGTCAGTGCCTTCGCTACAATCTATAATCTTAGAGAGTCGCCCAGAGCAAGGAAAGCTTACTCGGACTTATCCAGGGTCACAGAGCCAGCATGTACCAAGGGTGGATTGTTTCTTTATCTGCTGTACCATACTGCCTGAGTCTAAACATTTGCTTTAAAATCGTTGAGTGGTCTGCGCTCAACTGGTCTCATTAACAGGAAAGTACGGTAGCTGGGTGGCAGAGGGTGGAAAGCATGGGTGAAGACGTATCCGTTGAACTGAAATCCCCATCTTTTTTTTTTTTGGCAGCAAATTTGAAGCCTTGATTCATTTTTTACAAATACTATACCCCAAGCTGTGCCAGCATTGGAACGTGATTTGGATGGTGGCAGCAGCCATTCTTGTTCTCACGGTTGTGTTGGGCCTCTACAACTCCTATCACTCTTGCGCTGAGCTGTCGGAGGGGGCATCTGGAAAAGCCACCTGTTCTGCCTCCCAACGGGACTCCTGGTGGAACTCAGGACTACAACAGGAGCAGCCCACAGAGCAGTAAAGGGTGACTGCACACCCAGCTGGTGGGTGACCCTGCTCCAACATGCCTAGCGTGTCACCATTTTCCAGCTGTTCAGTGCAGTTAGGGACGCGCGTGTGTTCGTGATTCGGCATCCCCGCTACCCCAGTCTGGGAGTGAGATGGGCTGCTTTTCACTCACCGTGACTGGTGGAATATGAAGACCCGATGACACCGTCCAGGGGAGAGGTCCAGGTGGAGAGAGATGTCAGTTTGTCCAAGGAGTTCTGCCTTTGAGAAGAGCATCTTCACTCAAGCAGCGATTGGAGAAGGGCCAGAATGCTTTTATTGAAGATCCAGTATGGCGTTGAGCCTTCTCCCCATTTTCTAGGCTTTCAGCGGTTGCGTAGGGAGACTTTAGCCTAGCAGCCTCAGTGTCAATGTCAAACCTGGAGGTAGCAGGAAGAGCACTAGACTGGGAGTCTGGAACCCTGGATTCTCATCCCAGCTCTGGTACTAACTAGCTGCATGACCTTCAGCGCATCGCTCTCCCTGAGCCACACTTTCATTCTCTGTAAAGTGAGAGGGTTGGTTGCTGAGGTCCCTCCTAACTCTGACATGCTTTGCTTGCTCCGGCATCTGGCCTTGGCACTACCCTGTACACTTACCTCCCATCCCAACTCCCCTTTTTGCTTCTTCCTAAAGTTGCTTTTCACAAGAGTGGGAATGGTTTCTCCCAGGAAGTTATCCATATTGTATTTATCTCAAAACTTAAAAAGAAAAAGGAAATCATGTATGAAAATGTTCCTGCATGCACACCACACACACACACACATACACACACACACCCACACACACACAAAATGACAGATCCACCCCCTTGGAGGGAGTCCTTGCTAACTCCATCATGAAGGTCAGTCTCCCATAGATAAGTTACCAAGTGTGCTGCAGTAACCAATAACCCACTTACTAGGTGATGTAAACCAGTTTTATTTTTTTTTCAAAGTATCAAAAGCCCACTGACTTGCTGAGAATTTTTCATCACTGGACACCCCCTGGAAGGCACCCCCTTTATTTGTGGTTCTTATTGTACCTTTGAAAATAACTAACCCACCTCCTTTAGAAGAAAGTCCACAGCGGGGAATGAGTCACAGGCAGATTCCTGGCTTGGGGAAATGCGTCTTCAGCCTCCCACACTTAACGTGCATCATCCCATAGGCTCTCTTGGAGAAGCACCCCCACCCCAACCCCCAGGATATTTTTCAGCAGTGAGCCCACAGGAACCTAAGAGACACCCTCGTTCCTCCCACCTCCCACCTGGGTCCTGCCTCCCTGGACAGGTGTCTCCAGATCTGGTGGAAGGTAGAGGTACAACAATAACTCCCTCCCGGGATTTTTGCTCCACCTTCCCTGACTTTGATAACTCTCCCAACTCCAACTCCATCTTCCTTGACTTCAGTCTTGGCAACAGGCCATACATGAGAAAAGAAATGTCTCCTTTGGTAACCTCACTCTGCTTCCTGTGATGTTTCTCCATTTCTTCTTGTGTGAGAGGAGACTGAAAACTTCAGAAGCTAGTGTTGTTTCCAGGTTAAAGTATAGTTTGGTCTGATAGTTCAGCTTTAACAGGACCCACCTGTGCCAAGCCCCATTTATGCCCTGCTGCAGTTCACCCCCAACTGCTTTCCATGGGCCATCCTGAATAATGGCTGGAAACCAGCTGAAAGATGAAGCCAAAAGCTGATGGACCAAGGATGTACCAAAAGGTCAAAGAGGATGCAGAACAGAGCAAAGGAACGTAACCATAAGGCAAGGCCTCCGGAGCTAGAATCAGTGTGTCCGTGCCTATCAGATAGGCATCAGTGAACTTCCGTGTGGGTTCCCAAACAGGACAAGGTAGGTCTGTGCTGCCTCAGCATCACAGTGCTCATGTGGAGGCCTCTGCCATTGGTCCCTGGAAAGCAGGAAGCCAGAGAAAGAGCTGAAAGATTCTCAGATCCAGGCAGCTGCTACGCATGAGGGGCCGTGTTCCTGTGCCTGAGAGTACAAACAGGTATTCCAAGCCCCATCTTTCAGCTGGAGCCAGGACCCTTACAAAAGAGAGGGGAAACAGAGAGGGATTCACCTGGCCTAAAGCCAGGACCCCCACCGGAGAGAGAGAGGAGATGGATGAGAAGCAAGATATTTCCAAAAAGGCTTGAGGAACATAATATAGTGACAGGGTAAAGCCATGAGCAATGACCCCTGGGTGAGGGTATTCTGAAATATCAGTCTCTGGCCTGAAGAAGTGAAAGCAGGAGACACCATATACATAGTCAAGGAGCTGGTAGAAACACTCCTGAGGACGAGATGGAGGTTGCTCCTAATAATCTTTATAGTTGACATTTCGATGGCATCTTAAGATTAGCAAAGCACTTCACTGGTGTTATCTCAAATAAGCCTCCGAACAAACCCTTCAGGTTTTGTTATCTCCATTTTCAAGGTGAGGAAACCGAGGCTGGAAGAAGTTCAATTAGAAAAATGTGTTAAAAAGCATCATTTGATATTGGAGTTCGCTTCAACCTCCCTCCAAAGGATATGACTTCTCTCCCACAAGAGTGTAGCAGATTAGCATTGGTCCCCGAGTACCTTTGGTCTTTCTGTAGCCATGAACTGGACACATAAATAGGTGTCCTTAGGCTCTGTGTCTGCTGTGCTGTACCTCATGGCTGCCTGAGTGGGAAAGACTGGTTGGGGGCACTGGCTTGGTGCGCCATGCTATTTAAATCCCAAGCATCGTTAAATCCACACAGGTGTGCCAGCCTTTTACTGAATAGTGTCACGTACTTGAGTTTGAAAATAAAAGTAGCTCCTAAAGCTCCTCCATGGTCAGTGGTACAATTCCTTTATGCGCCACATCTTTGTGTTTCTGTAAGGATGGATCAAGCCCATAGCCCACCACTGACCTGGTGGACCACTGAGGCAGGGGCAGAGTTGTAATGATGATTTTTTGCGCCTGGGGAAGGAAGAACAGCTAGGGGGCGCCATAGCGCATAGAGTGCTGGGCCTGAAGTCAGGAAGACTCATCTTCACGAGTTCAAATCTGGCCTCAGACACTTGCTGGCCGTGTGATCCTGGGCAAGTCACTTCACCCTGTTTGCCTCATTTCCTCCTCTCTAAAATGAGCTAGAGAAGGAAATGGCAAATCCCTCCAGTATCTTTGCTAAGAAAACCCTGTATGGTGTCACAAAGAGTCAGACAATTGAAATGGCTCAACAACAACCGGGGGAAAATTGAATTGGGGGAGGGGGTGGGCAGCAGCAGCACAGGGGACAGTCCAGCCAAAGGTACAGGGGGAGAAGAGACATGAATTTGGCCCCAAACCATATAGTGGGAAGGGAGTCACGGAGAAAAGACCTTGGGGTGGACGCTGAGAGGTGCTCAGGCCACATTACATGAGTCTTCAGAGAATTCCTAGGTGAAAGGATGTAAGACGTGGCAATGGTGGTTTACCAGTTGGGGCTCTGGGAAGGAGAGTATTTGGGCCATCCATAGAAGTATCTTGACTATGGATTCTGTTGGACTGCACTCCTCCTCACCACGCCTGTCACCGTATTGTGTTCCCTCACCACAGAAGTCTATCAAAGAGACAGTCCTGGCTCCCCACCCCCAGTCCATATACTACCTGAAGGGAGCTGGAAATCTCGGGGTCCTCAGGGATGACTTGCCTAATTTTCTGGAGGGAGGGAGGGAGTGGTCCAGAATTGGATCATCTGTAATGCAAAATTTTCATGATCTGAAATTTATATATAGAAGCATTCAAAAAAACCCTTGGATTATTCATCTTCCAAGTGCAATTAGAATTTAGAGATTTCGAGGAAGGAGAGGCCTTGGAAGTCATCCAATCTCATCCTTTCATTTTGCAGACAAGAAACCTGAAAATTTTCATTCAGCTAGAAAGCTGAATGATTCTGCCCAAGGTCTCCTGGGTCCCAGCACTGAAGTTTGAGCCTAGGATCTGACTCCAGATTCACTGCTCTTTCCATGGCATCCCACTAACTGGAAGGCCACCAGCTCCAGAGAAGCAGCAAGCCTCCTTTTGGTCATTTTATTGCCACATCATAATCATAAGAACACGCATTCACAGGGAACTGTACGGCATATGAAGTGTTTTTGCATTCATTATCTAATTTTAGCCTCGCTACAACCATGTGCTACTATTTCACAGGGAGGACCAACATTGTTAAATGACTTGGCCGGGCTAGTTTGTGACAGAAGCAGCGGAGCCAGGAAGGGGAGCTGCACCTCTAGGAAGATAACGTTCTAGACACGATGGGGGTGACTTGGAGGTAGCCAAGTGGACACGGTCCATAGACGTTGGAATCCATGGGGCTGACGCTTGGGAGAGAGGTTAGGGCTGCAGCTGGAGACTCCCAAGTCATCCCCCTAGAAATAGTCATTGAAGTAGTGGAATGGGTGAGATGAGGGGGAGGTAGGGAAGGAGAGACAGAGAGACAGAGCTACTCCTAGGCACAGAGACAGAGACAGAGATCCAGGTACTCTGAACCCTAGGCCAGTATCTTCTTCCCACATCACACTTCATCTCGACAACTTACCACTTAGCAGCTTTGGGCCTTCCATCAAGTCACTTAAGCTCTTGGAGCTTCAGTGTCCTCACCTGTAAAATGGGTATATTACAACCTGAACTAACAACCTCACACAATTACTGTGAAGACTGAAAGAGACAATGGATGTAAAGCACCTTTTAAACCTTAAAGGACTCTAGAAATATTACCACTAATTGGTAATCCCATCTCTCAGCCCCGTCACCAGCACCAGCTTCCCCCTCAGCCCAAATTCCTGAAGACTGGAGGTAAGAAACAGAAACTAGGGGATGGCTAGCTTTGTTTCAAAAACTTCTGGAAAATGTTAGTATTTCTCTTCCTTTGACCCCACTGTCTCCTCTAGCTCTCATCTTATTTCTGTCCTCCTTTCACTGCCAGACTTCTCCTAGGAATGTTCTAGGCAGTCAGGGTTTCAGCCTCACCACCCACTCATTGCCCTCACCACTCCCAAGGGCTGTTTTCTCTTTGATGTCATTAAATCCAGTGCCCTTTTCTCCATCCTCTTCTGCCTTGCCCTCTCTGTAGCAGACCACATTGTAAACCGTTTCCTCTTGGAAACTGCCCTCTGGCACATGACTCTACTCTCCCCCGACCACCATTTCCCCATATTTGTAATCTTCCTCTATTAAAATGGAAATTGCCCAAGAGCAGGACCTGTGTTACTTTTTATCTTTGTATCTCTAGCATTCAGCAAAAGGCCTGGTACATAGTATACAGCTTGATACATGCTTTTTCATTAATTCATTTATTTCCTCATTCATTCTCTCTGTCTCTCCTCCTCCTCCTCTTCCTCCTCCTCCTCCTTTTTCTTCTTCTTCTTCTTCTTCTTCTCCTCTTCCTCCTCTATCATCTATCTCTTTCCTCCCTCCTTCTTGCATATATCTACCTACCTACTTATCTATTTATCTGTTTCTCTTTCCTTCCTACCTCTCTCTTTTTCTCTCCCTCTTCCCCCTTTCTCCTGCTTCCTCCCTCTCTCTCTGTCTATCTCCATTTCTCCTTTTCTCTCTTATCTCATCCATATCCTCAGGGTATGAGGGTAACTTTTATTTCCTAGACAAATAATGTTTTGTTTTCTTTCCATGGCAACTTGCTTGAGAATCTCTCTGTCTTTCTCTGTCTCTGTCTCTGTTTCTTTTTCTCTCTCTCACACACACACATACATATACTCTCTCTCATAGCCTCTCTTGCTTTCTCTCTTTTCTTTCCTCCTTTTTTTTCGTCAGCTCATTAGATACTATATTTAGAACTAGAAAGGATTTTAGAGATCCCTGTATTTTTCTCTTGGCAAAACTGATGCCCAGCAGATTGACTACATGACTTACCGAGGATCATCATACAACCAGTACATAACAGGGTGGGGCTTGAACCCTTGTTTTCCTAATGCTAAAGCCAACGAGTGTTCATTTTTGGTGCATTGATGCCTATCTCTCTACTAGATAGCCTGCTGTTTATGGACAGAGACAACATCTGATCCACACTAGTGTCCCTCTTGGCACCCAGAGGGGTGCCTAACATCTTTGTAACCTTCACCAAAGGTCACATAAGTAGTAAGGAGCAGAGCTGGTACTTGAACCCAGGTCCTCTGATGCCAAATCCCACATTCTTTTCACTGAACCACAATGCCTCCTCTAACCACTTCCCCAACACATACACACATGCATTCACATGTGTACAATTGAGGATGTTATTTTAAAATACATTTTAGTTTTATGCATGGGCATTCTGGAACGAGTTCTTCCTACCTTCACTTGCCTAAGAATCCACATATTATCCAAAGCAGCCTTGCTAATGACCATCTGCAATTAAATCATGGAATCATAGACACTGTCTGGAAGAGTCATCAGAAGTTGCTTAATACAACCCATTTGTTGTTGTTGTTGTTTAGTCGTGTCCGACTCTTCATGATCCCATTTGGAGTTTTCTTGGCAAAGATCCTGGAGTGGTTTGCAGTTTCCTTCTCTAGCCCATTTTACAGATGAGGAAACTGAGGCCACAACAGGGTTGAGTGACTTGGCATGGTCACACAGCTAGATTTGAACTCATGAACATGAGTCTTCCTGATTCCAAGTTCTATCCACTGTGCTACCTAACTACCCAATACAACCTATTACTGTACAGGAATGCCATTTACAATACCCCTGACAAATGGTCAGTCAGCTTCCATTAAAAGACTTCATATGATGGGGAGCTCACTCCCCACTGAAGCTGCCTTACTGAACTTTTGAACAGCTCCAATAGGAAGGAAGATTTTCCAAAATTTGCTTTTGTGCTGCTTTTCCTTTGGTCCTCACTCTCACCACTGGGGTCAAGCAAAATAGATCACGTCTATGTAACAGCCCTTCAAATAGTTGGTCTGTTATTATGTCCTACCCAAGTCTTCTCTTCATGCTGAACACTAGTAGCTTTGTGATCTTGGGTGAGTCAATCCCTCTAAGCCTCAGTTTCTTCATCTGTAAATCGAGGGGATTGGACTAGATGACCCCTGGAGCCCTTTCAGCTCTAAATCTAGCTCTAAATCCTCCCTGCATGAAGGTAGAAGGGGTATTTTGGATAACCCATGAATCATTAAAGCTAAAAGAGGACTATGGACAGCAGAAGATAATAGGATTGGAAGTGGAAGAGACCTCAGTGGCTATCTAGTGCAAGCTCTTCATTTTACAGATGGAGAAACCAAGGCTGAGAGATGTTAAGTAGCTCGCCCAAGGTCACACAACTGGCAAGTGTCAGAGGCAACACTTATACCCAAGTGCTTTGAATCCAGAAGCAGTGAGCCTTTTTTCCCATTTTTTCCTGCTGTCTCCCAAACCACATCATTTTACAGAGAAGGAATCTCATCATCAGACCTTTTTATTGTTGTCAGAATTGTGGTGGGAGAGGCATGGGAAGCCTCAGCCTGGCAAGAGGAAGGAGGGAGGTCGGATGGTCCTGATGTTGGAAGAAGTGGTTTTTCCTGACACAGGCACGGGAGGGGGCATTCTCAGCTGAGGCAGATTTACAGAGCATACCCACTTCTCACTATCAGGAACTCGGAAGCTTCCCAAGGGAAGACCTTTAGAACTCCCTAGTAAGCTCGCAGAGACAGAGGCTGTTGGTCTGCAAGCAAACAGGGATTTTCCAGTGCTGAAGATTCTGACTGGCTCCTTTCAGCCTTGCTGGAGAATCACAGAATATCAAGACTTCAGCTATGAACAACCTTAGAGATGATCTAGTGATCAAGGGTTCTTCACCTGAGACCAAGAACTTTTTTTTAAAAATATTTTGACAATTGTATTTTGATATAATTGGTTTCCTTTGTAATCTAAATTATTTTATTTTATGCATTTAAAAAGATTTTTATAAGAAAGTGTCCATGACACACAAAGAGGTGAGGATTCCCTGCTCTAGTTCAACCTTCTCATTTCATATATAAGGAAACTGTTAAGTCAACCAAATCTTGGAATTTCAGACTCAGAAGGGGTTTTAGGACCATCAAATCCATACCCTATCTGAAAAAGAATGTTCTTTACAACACATTAGACAAGTGGTCTTTGCTAGAAGACCTCACAAGAGAAGAAATCCACTGGGTTCCACCCAAGGCATCAGACTCTGCTTTGAGGTAGCTCCATTTGTTAAGAAGCTTTTCTTACATCAAACCTAAATTAGCCTGCGTAATTTCCACCCATTGTTTCTGGTCTAGTCCCTCTGGCACTCGGCAGAACAAGCTTAATCCATGCTTCACAGAGCAGCTTATCAAATATTTACAATCACGTATCTGTCCATCCATCCACCCATCCATTCTCCCCTCTCTGGACTTCTCTTCTCCAGGCTAAACATTCCCAGTCCCTTCAGCTGAGCATCATATGGCATGATCTCAGTACTGTTCACCATCTCAGGTGCTCTTCTCTAAAAGCTTTCTAGCTTATCAGTGTCCTTCCTAAAATGTGATAGCCAGAATTAGGCAGCTATTAAATGAAATTAAACTAAGTAAATAAATAATAAATTAAGTTAGATAAAAAGAAAATTAAATAAAATTCTGACCAATATAGAATGTACTAGGATGGTCACCTTCCAATTCCTGGAAACTGTATTTCTCTGACCACAGGCTAAGATTGCTTTCAATTTCTAGACTGGCATGGGTGCTTAATAAATGTAGATTGATTAATTGATATCATACTATATTAAATTTGCAGTCCAATAAACCCTTACATCTTTTCCAGATGAGCTGCTGAAATATTTAGCCTGGAAAACAGAAAACTTGGGGTCAACGTGATGGTTGTGTTCCAGTATTTGGATGGCTACCCTATAGAACAGACCTAGGCACCATGGATAGAAGTGGCCAACAAGAGGCTGATTTAAGGTCATTAGAACCTTGGTGACAAATAGAACTGCCCTGAGTGGAATGGATGGCCTCTGGAGGCAGTTGGTTCCTCCTCACGTTAGGGTTTTAAGCAAAAATTGGATGACCACTTAACACATGTTAAAAAGTTAAGTATGAATAGAATTGGGATAAATTAGTTCATGGAATTATAAATCTGGAGTTAGAAAGGACCTTAGAGGTCATTTAGTCCAACCCCCTTATGAGGAGACTGACTTAGTCAGTTGATTAGCATTTATTAAGCACCTACTGGGTACCAGGCACTGTGCTAAGCCCTTTTACAAATATTATCTCATTTGATCCTCACCACAACTCCTCAAGGTAGGTGCTGTTATTATCTTCATTTTACAATTGAAGAAACTGAGGCAACCACGGATTAAATGGCTTGTCCACAGTCATGTAGTCAGTAAGTATCTGAGGCTAGATTTGAACTCAGGTCTTCCTGACTCCAGGCCCAGCGCTCTACCCATTGTACCACCAACAGCTTCCAATTGTTCTTTCAAAGCCCCCACCCCCCCACAAAGGGAATCCTATGGGACACATCTTGAAATAGGCATATGAGGGTAAGTATTAAAATTCATTTGGCCCAGCCTTATTTTCCCAGAGGTCACTGAGATTGAGGGTGGGCAGGGTGGAGGACCCAAAATCACAGTTCTGTCTCCCATGGAACCCCAGCCTTTGGCTAGGAATTAGTAAATGACCCACATGAGAGGAATTAACCCTGAACGATGTAAGAAAGGAAGAACAGAGCGGCCAGCTTCACAACATCTGGTTGACCAGGAAGGAATGCAGCAGTACAAGCTGAGCTATCTGCCTCTCTCAGCTGCCTGCTCTCTGAGTCAGCAATAGCTGAATTTTCCAGACAGCCATCCATAACACACAGGCTTCGTGTTCACTTCCCCCCATTGACCTTGACAAGGGGATGGGCGGAAGCGAAGTGGACAGCGACAGTAGCGCTCTGACAGCTCACAATCTCACAGTCCTGTGCCGGGGATCTCCCATACATCAAGTTCTCCAAGGAGAGAGCAGGCAATAGAAGGCTGGTCAGCCTCTCTTCGTTTGAGGGGCTTTCCACCCATGGCACGCTGCTCCACCATGGGACGCTCCACCACCATAGCCCTGTTCCTTTCCCCGCTATTGTTCCTGGTTCAAGGCTTGCTCCAGGCAGAAGGTAGGTCTCACACCAGCTCACTCCTCTTCAGTGGGTAGGTGGGTGGGAACCACGAAGACTTGGATTCTCCGCTGTTGGATCACTGAAGCTTGGGTGACTGCAGTTTCACATCAAGTGGAAGCACCAACCTGACAGCCCAGCTTCACCCCAATAGATCAGAGGATTCTGTGAGCACTGAAATTTTTGAAATCATTCATCTTTGGAATGGTCTAGAGCTTGAAGCTACTTCAGAAGCCATCTTATCAGAGAAAAAGGTATTCAGGCAGGGAAACACTCACCCAGGGAGGCCAAGCAATTTTCTCAAGGTCCCATGGGTTGGGTAGAACCAGAGTCAGGGGCAGGATGGGAACCCAGGGCCAATGTCCTTTCCACTGTACCATAGTGATCTATATATACCTCATATTTACCTTTAAGTAGTCATTGCTTTGTTTTGAGGGGTTTTGACAAGTAAAACAAGTTTCTAAACAAAACAGCGAATGGGGCAGGGGGAGATGAGATCATTCAAACATTTGCTTTCATTGAAGAACTTAAACCACAATAAGTTCAAATCCCAGCTATGCTACTTGCTGCCTGTGTGACCTTGGGCAAATCAATTAACTTCTCTGGCCCTCAGTTTCCTTATCTTTAAAATTAGGGGGATAGATTCAATGACCTCTAAGATCCCTTCTAGCTCTGAGAACCTATGAATAATAGAATATAAGCTCCTTGAGGGCAGATGCTAGTTCTGTTTTTGTATTTATGTCCTCAGCACCTAGCATAGCACCTAGTAGTATATAAAACGGATATTTAATAAATGCTTATTGGATTGAATTGGATCGAATTCAATTGAATAGACTGGTATGGTGGATGACACCTATGAGAAGCCTTTCCTCATCCCCCTCCCAACAGGGGAGAGAACATGGAAGTAATTATGTACAAACAAAATGGAAATAGGATATATTGGGGATAATCAATAGAGGGAGAGCCCTAGCATTAAGGGGCATCAGGAAGGGCTTCCTGTAGAAGGTGGGGTTTTAGTTGGTTCTTGAAGAAAGCCAGGAGGCAGAGATGAAGGAGAGAATTCCAGGTGTGGGGGATGGCCAGTTAAAATTTGGGGAATGGGCAGATGAAGGCTTTTGTGGAAGGAAAAGTAAAGAGGCCAGTGTCACTGGATTATAGAGTATGCAAAGTGCCATTTAACACTAGGTTTGGCTCTTATTATTGTCTCCCTATTTTAGAGTCACCTTTCCTATCTAAAGCGGTGTCAAACTACCTTAAAAATGGTTCCTTAGGAGAGCATTCTTAGAGAAATGAATATAAGATAGATAGATAGATAGATAGATAGATAGATAGATAGATAGATAGATAG